TTTTAAGCCCAGTGAATGGCAAAACTGACCAGTCCCCTTGGTGGGCCACAACCACCTTATTTACATGTTTTTGTTGTTAAGTGCTGTCAAGTCAATTCCAATTCATAGCAATTCTGTATAAGGTTTCAAGGAGCATGTGGTGGGTTTGAACCACCAAATTTGTGGTTAGCAGTCCAGTGATTGTTCTACAGTGCCCCCAGAACTCCTTTATTTGCATAGGCCCATTCATATAAAAGCAAATCACTCAAGCGCTGTGTTGAGCATTTCATGTATATGATTTCACTTAATCCCTGTAGCATCACTGTTTCTTAGGTGGTATTATTATCCCCCTTCTGCAGATTAGGACACTAAGACTTAAAGACGTTAAGTACCTTTCCCAAAGACTCACAGCTTCTAAGTGGCAGAATAAGAATTTCAAACCCTGGCTATTCGGAATCTGAAACTTTCACTTAACCTCTGTACTTTATTGAATACGTTTTAGGTGCTCAGTAAACGTTCCCTCTTCTTTGCCTTCTGCTTTCACCCCTGCCGTTTCCCAGTATTTGTTATTATGTCTTTTTATCCTTTTTCCTATCTTGGAGAAAAAGATTTTCTAGGTCTTTAGCCGTTGATATATCTACTCTTCTCTTCTTCTCTGAGATCAGTCACCTTTCATTATTGCTTTTCTGGGGCTATGTCAATTTCTTTCTTGTGCATAAGGAGTATTGTAGGATAAGTACAGGGCTACTAACCAAAAAAGGAGCTCTGGTAGCGTAGTGGTTACGAATCAGGCTGCAAATTGCAAAGTCAGTAGTTCGAAACTACCAGCTGCTCCATGACAGAAAGATGAGGCTTTCTGTTCCAGTAAATATTTACAGCCTCGGAAACCCTGTACAGGGTTGCTATGGGTCAGAACCGACTCGACGACACTTAACAACAACAACAACAACAACACTAACTGAAAGGTTAGCAGTTCAAACCCACCAACTGCGCCTTAGAAGAAGGATCCTGTAAAGATTTACAATCTTGAAAGCCCTATACGGGGTCTCTGTGAGTCAGAACTGACAAGGGAGGGGGGAATCTTTATTTCCTTTCAACAACGTATTTCTCACTAGACAGTCATTGACTTCTGCTTATTCTCATCTGTCATACTCTTCGATCTTTGCAGCCTAACTGCTTCCTCCTCACTAGTCAGGAACCTGGGAGAGAAATTTGCAATTTGTCTATAACAAAATCTTCCTGGTTCTTTTGTCACCATTCCTTTGCTGTTGGCCTCTGCCATGTTCATCACCATTTCTCACTATCTCCTGAGACAAGAATAAGGAATTGAGGACTCTTATGTTGTTGTTGTTAGGTCTTGTCAAGTCAATTCCAACTCATAGCAACCTTATATACAACAGAACGAAACACTGCCAAGGTCCTGCTCTATCCTCACAATTATTGTTACATTTGAGCCCATTGCTGCTGCCCTGTGACAGTCCATCTCCCTGGTGGTTTTCTTCTTCTTCACTGACCCCCCTCCACTTTTCCACACATGAGGTTCTTCTCCAGGACCTCCTAATAACATGTTAGAAGTATGGCAGACAACGTCTTGTCATCCTGGCTTTTAAGGCGCAGTCTAACTGTACTTCTTCCAGCACAGATTTGTTTGCCCTTCTGGTTGTCCATGGTGCTTTTAATATTCTTCCCCAACACAATTATTCAAATGCATTGATTCTTCACTGGTCTTCCTTATACATTGTTCAACTTTCACATGCATATGAGGCAATTGAAAATGCCATGGCTTGAGACAGGTGCAACTTAGTCTTCACACTGATATCTTTGTTCTTGAACAGTTTTAAAAGAGATCTTGTATTTGCCTAATGTTTGATTTCTTTGCTGTTGATTCTGTGAGCGTTGATTGTATTGATTTTGAATCCAAGCAAAATGAATTCTTTGAAAACGTCATTCGTTTCTCCATTATCAAGGTGTTATTTATTGGCCCAATTGTGAGAATTTTTGTTTTCTTTACATTGTGGTGCAACCCATACCAAAGTCTTTGATTTTCATAAGTTAGTATTTTAAATCCACTTTGCTTCTAGCAAGCAAAGTTGTATGATCTGCATTTACAGGTTGCTAATGAGTCTTCCTCCAGTCCTGAAGTCACGTTTTTCTTCATGTAATCCAGCTTCTCGGATTATTTACTCAACACACAAATTGAATGAGTGTTGTGAAAAACTACAACCCTGCCACACCCCTTTTCTGATTATAAACCATTCAGTATCCCCTCTTCTGTTCGAATTACTGACTCTTGATCTATATACAGGCGCCTCTTGAGCATAATTCAGTGTTCTATAATACCTGTTCTTCTCAATGTTACCCATAGCTTGTCATTGTCCACACAGTCAAGAGCCTTTACATGTCAATAATGCATGAGTAAACATCTTTCTGGTATCCTCTGTCTTCAACCAGGATCCATTTGATATTAGTGATAATATCCCTAATTCCACATCCTCTTCCAAATCAGACTTGAATTTCTGGCAGTTCTCTGTCAGTGTACATTGCTTCCATTTAAAAATTATTTTTAGCAAAATTTACTTGCATGTAATATTAATGATATTGCTCAATGAGTTCTACATTTCATTGGGTCATCTCTCTTTGGAATGGGCGTAAACATGGATCTCTATCAATCGGTTAACTAAGTAACTAACTTCCAAAGTTCTTGGCATAGATGAGTGAGTGCTTTCAATGTTTCATCAATTTGTTGAAAGATTTCAATTTGTATTACGTCAGTTTCTGGAGCCTTGTTTTTTTCCAGTGCTTCATTGCATCTTGGACTTCTTCAACATCGGTACCATCAGTTCTTGATCATATGCTACCTCTTGAAATGGTTGAACCTTGACCATTTCTTCTTGGTACAGTGACTGTATATACCTTCCATCTTCTTTTGATGCTATTTGCATCATTCAGTATTTTGCCATAGAATCCTTAATGTTGCAAGGCACAGCTCCAGACCTTAGCACATTTCATTATAATACATTGTCTTCTTGAGCTGTCCCTTGAAAATTTCTGTTCAATTGTTTGACTTCCTCATTTCTTCCATTTGCTTTAGCATCTCTGTGCTGAAGAGCAAGTTTCAGAATCTCTTCTGACATCTATTTTGGTCTTGTCTTTCTTGCTTGCTTTCTTCCTGTATGATATTCTTGATGTCATCCCACAGCTCTTCTGTTGTTGTTCTGTGCCGTGGAGTCAGTTCCGACTCATAGCGACCCTGTACAGGGTTTCTGAGGCTGGAAATCTTTGCAAAAAGCCTCATCTTTCTCCTGCAGAACAGTTGGTAGTTTTGAACTGCTGACCATGAGATTAGCAGCCTGATTTGTAACCACTGTGCTACCAGAGCTCCTTAACAGTTCTTCTGGTCTTTGTTTATTAGTGTGTTTAATGTTATCAAATCTGTTCTTGAGATGGTCTCTAAATTCAGGTGGGATTTGTTCAGGGTCGTATTCTGTCTCATGGACTTGTTTCAATTTTCTTCAACTTCAACCTGAATTTGCATATGAGCCGTTGATGGTCTGTTCCACAGACAGCCCCTGATCTTCTTTTGGATGATGATATGGAGCATTTCTACCGTCTTTTTCCACAGATGTAGTCATTTGATTCCTGTGTATTCCACCTGGTGAAGTCCAAGTGTATAATCATCGCCTTTTATGTTGTTTAAAAAGGTATTTGCAATGAATAAGCCATTGATCTTGTAAAATTCTATCATGTGATTTCCAGCATCATTTCTGTCACCAAGACCATATTTTCCAGTTATTGATCCTCCCTCTTTGTTTTCAACCTTCGCATTCCAATCACCAGTAATTCTCAATACATCTTGCTTGCATGTTTCATACATTTCAGACTGAAGCAGTTGAGAGAATTCTTCAATTTCATCATCACCGATTTTAGTGCTTGGTGTGTAAATTTGAATACTAGTGATATTAACCAACCTTCCTTATAGTTGTCTAGATATTATCCTATCGCAGGCAGCATTGTACTTCAAGATAGGTCTTGAAATGTTCTTTTTGATGATAAATGCTATGCCATTCCTCTTGATTTTATATTTCTCAGTGTAGTCAACGGTATGATTATTCGATACAAATGGCCAATACCAGTCCATTTCAGCTCACTGATGCCTAAGATATTGATCTTTATGTGTTCCATTTCATTTTTGACAACTTCTAATATTCCTAGACTCATACTTTGTACATTCCATTTTCCAATTATCAGTGGATGTTTGTAGCTATTTCTTCTCATTTTGAGTTTTGCCTCATCAACAGATGAAGGTCCCAAAAGCTTTACTCCATTTACATCATCATGGTCAACTGTGCTTTGAGGAGGCAGCTCTTCCCCAGGCATATTTTGAGTGCCTTCCAACCTGAGCAACTCACCCTCTGGCATAATACCTGACAATATCCCACTGCTAGTCATAAGGTTTTCAGTGGCTAAACATTCAGAAGTAGTCTGTCTCTTCTTCATCCTAGCGTGTCCTAGTCTGGAAGCTCATCTGAAACCTGTCAACCATGGGTGACCCTGCTGGTATTTAAAATACCAGTGGCATCACTTCCTGAATCACAGTAACATGCAAGCCACCACAGAATAAAAAACTAACATATGAGTGGTGGTTCATTCAATGTATCAGAGACTTACTGTGTGTTCACTCGGTATTAAGCAATGTATCTAACACAAAAATAGAAGCCACAACTCCTACCCTCAGCAAGTTTATAGCTTAGAAGAGAAAATCACACACAGACGTATGGGAGTAATGTAGAAAGATCACTTCGTCTATGTAGAGACCTAGATAGAGGGAATGGGTGCAGAGGGTTGAGAAGTGAATCCGAGGGAACACCTTACATGGGGTCGTGGTAAACTTTACATTTCTGCTTTCTTGCCTCCCACTTACAGATTATGATCTCCTTGGACAAGTTACTTGTACAAATGATCTTTATTTACTGGGAACTCTGGGCATTTTTATATGGTCATTAATGTTTCTTTCTCCCCAGGTGGAAGAAGCTGGGCAGGTGTTCCTGTTGATGAAGAAGGATTATAGAATCTCCCGAAATGTTCGGCTGGCTTGGTTCCTCAATCACCTGCATCAAACTGTGCAGGCCACACCCCAGGAGCTGCTGGTGAGGCCTAGAGACTGGCAGGGTACGAGAGCGCTAGAAACAGATAAGGAAACTAGGTGAGGTGTCTGCCTCTAGGAGGGGAAGCGACTTTGCCCACCAGATGATTCCACAGGAGAAACGTTGTTTGATAATTGTTCCAAGTAGTCAGGGAAGAGCCTTTTGTTGAGTTCCGGGAGATTAGGACAGTGGTGGGCCATTTGGGAGTTAGAATTCAGGTCCCAGGAGGAAAGGGATGACTCGTCCCTGACTCTTCTTTTCTCTCTGTCCTATCTGTCAGCTTCAGTCTGAGCAGGAGTTGGACGTCCTCAGTGTCCTGCCCCCTGGGTGGCAACCAGATGAACCAGTGGTCCCGAGGCCATTCCTCCTTGTTCCTTCCACTCGGGTCACCTTCCTGGCTTGGCAGTATCGATTTGTCATTGAACTGGACCTTAGCCCATCTACTGGCATTGTGGTGAGGGATTGTATGTGTGTGGTGAGAGGGAGGTGGGGGGAGGGGGTTGGGGACAGTGAGAAGAAAGGCTGAGGTGGACGGTGAAGAGAGGGAGAAGCCTGGGGAAGATGAAAAGGGATCTCAGCCTGCCAATTTGAAAAGGAGACAGGCATATAAAGGAATGGGGGGTGTCTAAAGACAGATCCTGCCTGTCTAGGACACTGTGTTTGGGGCAGAGATCAGGGTAAAGGTCCCACTGACTCATGGGAGCTGCGTGTTTTTGCCCTCTCTCCAGGGCTGCTTTTGGTTATGCTCAAGAGATCTTTCTTTGCATTGCCCTCAGGATGATTCCACGGGGGAGATCTTGTTCGATGAAGTTTTCCATGCTCTCTCCCGCTGCCTAGGGGGACTGCTTCGACCTTTCCGAGTGCCTGGATCTTGCATTGACTTCCAGCCTGAGATCTATGTAACTATCCAGGCCTATTCCTCAATCATTGGCCTGCAATCCCACCAGGTACTGTATTCTCTCTCCAAGATTGTACTCTCCAATCGAATTTCTGATAGTGTACTGACCAACACCTGAATCCTGACCCCACTTTTCATACCTAAGACCCCAGCTTTGCTGGCTTCTTGAACCCATTTCCTAATCATTTCCATGAGTCTTTCTCTTCTCAGAAGAGCCAGATCCTCAAGTCCCATAGACTTTAGGTCAGTTGACATTCATTGGACACATGTCCCTCTCATTCTTCCTCTAAGTCCCCTTGGGTCTGATTACTAGGTATCTGTTTTCCCTATTTTCCCCTCCTGCTTTTGTTCTATCAGATGGTTTACTGGTGTCATGACTCCTACCCCAAGAGAAAGTGTTTTTTTCCATTGAGGCGTTTTATTTGTATTTATCACATCCCTAGAAAAAGAATCCCAGTACTTTCCCTCCTGTGTGTTTTTGTCATGTTTCCTCATGGTCCATAATGCCAGCTGAGGTCATCAGTACAATGAAACCAAATTGACAGGACGAGACCAGATGATTCTGCCATTTTTCTAGGTCTTTGAGCTGCAGGTCAGACTGAGGACTGGTCACGCCACACTTGTCTAACCTGTCTGAGGTTCACAACAATTGTCCCAGCTCTGGTATCATCAGTGATTTCAAATGCACCAATTTAGCCTTGCTTCATCATCACAGTCAGAAACTGGACGATGATTTTGGAGCATAGCCAGATAAGAACCTGGCACTTGCCTCTCTTCTTGGCATTATTGATTCTCTTAAGAGTGCTGGTCAGGACATTCATGCGTACCATGATGGTGACACAGAAAAATGGCAGAAAGAGCAAAGGATGGTCTTTTGGAATAGTTGTATATTTTGAAATATAACAAAAATCGAGAAACATAATTTCTTTCCAGACTATAGGAAGCTCCCTTCTCTGAGGACCTGTGGACTGACTGTCTGGTGTAATTAATCACAGGACTTCTCTAATACCTAAGCAGGCTATCACAAGCCACTCCTGTTGAAGAGGGGCCAAGTCTGTACCTGGAATATGTGTGGCTGGTTTAGATTGGCCCAGTTTTCTTTGACCTGCTTTCAACCAGCTTCAGTTTATTGGTAGGGGCTTCCCCTGACACTGTTGCTAATGGCTACATTGTCACGTCAGCTGTCAAACTGACTATGAGAAATGGGGGATACCAGGAACAATTCCTGAGAGTCTAAAATATACAACAGCCAAATTGGAGTACGCCTGGATCACAGGGCAAGGACTTTTAGTCCCTTCACCTAGGTCAAGTGCTCTCTCTTTAGTACATCTATTAAGGTCTACTGGTTGTAGGTCATAGTCCCAGACAGACTAGGCTCTGCAGGAGCTTATGCTCAAGGCAGGAGAACATGGGAATTGGATAAGCACTCAGAATTTGGTTGAGCTTGACTCACTTATTGAAAGCTGATTTGTGCCAAGCCTGGACTTAGTCCTGGAGACACAGATGAAGCAGACACTGCCCCTGTCCAAGAGGAGTTGAGAGTTTGGTCAGAAAGACAGCTCTGGAAGGAGATCGTTTCACTTGAATGTGACAAGGGTACTGATAAGTTATGATTCAGGTGCTATTGAGAGGGAGCTTCCAACCAAGCCTGGAGCAGTGACAAGGAAAGCTTTCAAGCAAAGTACGTTTGAACTGAGTTTCAAAGAGAGAATTGAAGGTAATCAGTCAAAGAAAGGGAAACGTATTCCAGGCAGAGGGACCAGCAAAGGCCAAGGCATGGAGCAGCTGTACAACTGCTCTCAATCTAGGGAGGTTAGGGCACACCATGTTCTATTTTAATAAAGCTTGAGTGTCAGGGAGGGTGCTAGTAGCAAAGAGACCAGAGAGGGAAGTAGGGACTAGATTTTGAAAGGCCTTGCATGTCATGTGCAATTTTATTTCAGAAATGTACAGAATACATGCTAGGTACTGTAATCTCGTAGGGTTGCTTAGTGCAGTGTTTAAGAGCCCAGGCTGTAGAACCACATTGTGTGTATCCTTGCTGTGTGCCCTGAGACAAATTAACCTCTTTGTGCATCTGTCCCTTTCCACCAACATGCTCATGTTAAGACTACCTTAGGATAGGAAGAGTTCCTGGTGGCAGAGTAGGTTAAGTGTTCATTGTTCCATTAGAGATGAGGTAGACTGCTCCCGTGAGTATTCGATGTCTCTGGAATCTGTGGAGCAATTCCATTCCACCCTGTGGGTCACTGGGAGTTGGAATCGACTCTGTGGCCTAGAGTGGGGATTATATGGTGATTTATTAAGCACATGTCTAGGTCTCAGTGCCTGCCACATAGAAAAAACACAAATGTTAGCTAGTAACATTTTTAGCCACAGGTAGTAGACAACCATTGACAGCTTTAAATGGGCAATAACTTGTTCATAGTTGTACACTAGGACGATCTGACTTGTTTGTGGTCAGTGTGGAAAATGGCTTGAGGGATGAGTATGCATGTGGGAAGAACAAGCAGAAGACTTTTACAGCTTGTGAGAGAGCCTGAGGCCCAAGCAACGACAGCAGCTGTGGAGCAGGAAAGCACCGTCTGTTAACTCAGCTTCATTTTCTCTGAAGCTCCTGCTGCTCTTTTTAAAGAAAGAAAAATGATATTGTATTTGTACTAATGTTCATTCTAGGAGGGTTGAAAAATACCTAAAAATTATATACGGAAAAAACAAAACTCACTCATAATGTACCACCCAGAGGTAACTATTGTTAACATTTTATAAAATTTTCTTCTAGTGTTGTGAATGTGTTTATCCTCCCCCATTACCATTTTCTGTCCAAAAACAGAAAAAGGGAAGCATCAGACTCATTCCATACACAGTTTTACATCCTGCTTGCTACTCTCTAACCCACTGAAAATTGCCCTCTGGGTTTAAGACATCAGTTCTTGCTGTTCCTTCAGCCTCTGAACAAAGAATTCTCCTCCCTCCTCCTCTCTTTCCTTAACGCTAATCTCTCCATCGAAGCTAGGACCTTTTCTTTTATTACCTTTTCAGTCTGTCACTACGGCTCCTTCCCTTCCTTTTCCAACATAAATAAATGCTCCCATCGTACAAGCTTGTAAAAACAAGTCTTGCCATTGGCTACCCAAAATGGAGGGCTACAAAGGCAAGAAGTGACTGGCTTACAAGCTTTCAAGAGGGAGCCTAGATCCAGAGGGTACCGAGTAAAGAATCTCCACTGAGTGGTTTCCAATCTGTTGGGACAGGGCTGGTGAAAGGAGATGGGGATAGGACTCTTGTGGTACAATAGTGAATAACTGCTATCAGGACTGACTGTGAGGGTTGGAAATGTAAAGGTAGACACTTTGTAGCAAAAGGAGGGGAGTGGTTAACTTTGCAGTCCAGGAGCAGAGGTCCCTGGGACCATCAAGGGAGAAGAGTGGAGTGCGAGACCCTACACAGAGAAACAGTGATGCCAGAGATGGAGGCAGAGATGATGACGTGGAATGATTGGAGCAGCTGGGGACTCTAGACCCAGAGAAGGAGAGGGGCTGTGTGCTGACGACCAGGGGGCAGGCTTATGGGGTGTAACATTTGATTGGTTGATGATGCATGGAGGGGATTTTTTAATCATGGCAATGAAACGATATATAATAGGATGAATGTAAAACTAATGTTCTCCCATGTAAGCTATCCCATGATTCACAATAAAAGCTTTATAAAACAAAACCAAGTCTGGCAATCCCTGTGGTGCCTCTCAGGATCTTCCCCTTCTTCCTCCTCAGACTCCTACACCCTGTCTCATTTGCCTACTTCTTCCTCATAACCGCAACTACTACATCACTCCCTATTCAGAACTGTGAGTCTGATGGTAAGAAGACAGAAAGAAGAGTAGAAATTGAAGCTATAAAGGAATGAGAAAGATGTTCACAGCTGTATTATTTAGAGTAGTAAACATTAAGATGGCCCAAGTGTCCAACAATAAGGGTTGGACTAAATACATTACGATTATGTTTTTGTTAAGTACCATTGAGTTGGTTCCAACTCATAGTGACCTTACATATGGTTTCCAAGGAGCAGCTGGTAGGTTTGAACCATCAACTTTGTGGTTAGCAGTCCAGTGTTTATCCTATAGTGCCATCATGGGTATAGGCATATGGTAAAATATGAGTAGCCCTGAAGAATTGTGTTTTCAAAGAATATTTAGCAACAGAAAAAAGCCAATGTTTTATATATGTTGTTGTCGGTAAGTGCCATTGAGTTGAGTCAGTTCTGACCCCAGCGACCCGGTAGAGGGTTTCCTAGGAGGAGCTGGTGAGCTTGAACCACTGACCTTGCAGTTCAAGCCAGCTTTGCAGTCCAGCACATTAACCCACAGTGCCACACCAGGACTCATGTGTGTGTGTATGTGTATTAGCGTATACACACACACATGTACAAGTGGCCTCCAAAAAGTTTGTGGAAATTTAGAATGAAAAGATAATGACTTTTTTCCACAAATTTTTGACATCCCCTCATGTGTGTATATATCAATTGTGTGTGTGTGTGTGTGTGTGTGTGTATAATTGGGCACATGAGACAGGGTGTAGGAGTCTGAGGAAGAAGAGGGGGAAAGATCTTGAGGAGCACCACAGTGATTGCTGGACTTGTTTTTAACAGACTTTTAGGATGGGAATACTTACTTATGTTGGAAAAAAGAAGGGAAGGAGCCGTAGTGTCAGACTGCAGAGGTAATAAAAGAAAAGATCCAAGCTTCAGTGGAGAGATTAGCGTTAAGAAAATAGAGGTGGAGGAGGGAGAATTCTTTGTTCAGAGGCTGAAGAACAGCAAGAACTGATATCTTAAACCCAGAGGGCAGTTTTCAGTGGGTTAGAGAGTAGTATCCCCTCACGGTTTGAGTGAGGGGGTAGTTCCTGTTGACTGACTTTCTCTGTATGAGGGGGGATGGGAATTATTTGCTGCTGAAGGAAAAGGGAATAAAGGAGCATGTGGAGATGAGAAGAGAGTTTTTGAGCTTAAAAAAGAGTTTTGTTTTTTTTTTTTAAATACAGTTTTTTTTTTAAATACAGTTTTTTTTTTAATACAGCCTCTGTGCAGTATGCTTAGTAATTCAAAGAATAAAGTGTGAGAATGAAAAGGCCTTTGCCAGGCTGAGTTTGGGCAATTTATAGCCAGCAAGCATATTGTAGCTCAAGTTGGAAGACTCTGGAAAATCTTCTGGCACCCTCATATGAAGGATTGGGGAAACCCAGTGTGGAGGACTGTAAACAGAGAAAGTTGTGACCCACATTATGGTGTCTCTGGGCTGAGCCTTGGTGGAGTTTATATCTGATAAGGAGAAAACTGGCTATGAAGGTACCAGAATTTAGACCTTGGTTGCTAGGAAGTCAGGTTCACCAAATGGCATTATGGAGAAGAAATAGACCAGAAGGGTAATGTCCAGTGCCTCCGTGACCTCTTCATCTCAATCTTTTCCTCAGGTGCTGGTACAAGGCTGTCTTTTGGACCCTTCCCAGCGGGAGGTTTTCCTGCAGCAGGTATATGAGCAGCTCTGCCTGTTTGAGGATAAGGTGGCCACCATGCTACAGCAGCAGTATGATCCCCAGAGCCAGGTATGTGGGAGAGAAAGTGAATAGACTACACAGGACAGGGCAGAAAGGAGACACAAGCCAAATGCCAAGGGGAAGGATGGGAGAAAAGGGCTTAGAGCCAAGGATAGCAGTACCAGAGAATGCACATGGCAGGTTTCTGTTGGGAAAGGACTCTAATACCCATAAGCAAAGAATTCTTGCTGGGAGAAAATGTGAAAGTTGCTTTGTTTTTGTGTTTGTTTTTTATTTCAGTCCCGGATCTCCCCCAATGGATCTGCAAAGGTGATTATAGATCTCCAGTTAGTATGTTGTTCAGTCAGGGCTAAAGCTGCTTGGGCTCACTGGAATGCCTTTCTCATTGCTTTTGGCTACCTTAGAAATAGATGTACACATGGCAGTTCTGTGTGTCTGATGACTGGGAATGTGATGGAATTAATAATGTAAAATTTTTATAATGGTGATGGAAAAATAGAGAAAGGGGCTCTTACTGGGAAAAAGTGGAGGAGCCCCACCTTAGTATAATCCTGTTTCATCTGGTGGATTTGCTTCCCATCTAAGCTTCTGTATTTGAACATGCCCTGGAGGCAGAAGAATGGTACAAGTGGAGTCGGGGTTCAGCTGCAGAGTGGGGGATTGGAGGACTGTCTCTGAGCTCCTTGGGCAGTGCTGGACTTTTCAATTCTGGTTTGGCTGTGGAAGGGCCAGCAATGCCATCCATCTGTCTCTATCTTTTCTGTAACTTGGGGTCAGGCAGAGGACCAGTCTCCAGACTCAACAGAGCCCCCAGGCCGGAAGGTGGGGGTCTCCATGGTGACAGCAGATGTTGGACTGGTCAGTATGATTCGTCAGGGCATCTTGGCTCTGCAGTTGCTGCCCTCCAACTCCAGTGCAGGTCAGTAGAAGGTGACGTCTCTAGGAACGAGCATTTGTGAGATTGGGGACCTGGGAGGATATAGGATGGGGCAGTATCAACAAAGATAGAAAGTTCCTGGGGATCAGTGAACCCCTAGGGAAGAATATCTATTGTCTGTTTTGTACAATGTAAGTCTGTATTAGAGCAAATCTCAAATACCCCCAGCTCTGACAACCATCAGAGACCCTACTGGGTAGGGGGAGATTGTGAGCTAGCACTCAAGAGGAAGAAACTGGAGGGAAGGAAAAAAGGAAAGCGGTAGTTGAGGTTTATAAGAGCCATTTATTAGAGGACACTGAGGTCTACCCTGTCTGCTGGGTCCCTCCCTGTGACTTGGAGCTGGCCAGTGTCTCTGGTATTAAGTCTGATGTTTCCTGTTCTAGGTATCATTGTGATCACGGATGGGGTGACCAGTGTCCCTGATGTTGCTGTCTGTGAAACACTACTGAACCAGCTTCGCAGTGGCACTGTGGCTTGTTCCTTCGTACAGGTGAGGACTTTCTAGGGAGGAGGAGAGAGGAGTGGGAATGCTCACAAAGTTGGACCTGGCTGGTTACTTTCTTACAGGTGATGATTTTCCAGGGAACATACCTAGATGCAAGTGGGGGAGGTGTCTTGTCTCAAACAGGGTAGGTGGTAGTAATAATGGGAGAGGGCTTAGCGCCTTAGTCTTCTGTCCTTAGGATTTGAGAGACAGCATGTTCCCATAAAAAGGATGCAGAATTTTAAATTGAAATGTTCCAGACCTACCTTCCTCATTAGATAAGTTGTTACTATTTTGGTCGCAAGGGTCAGAAAAAAACAGTTTGAACTAGCTTAAGTGAAGTGAGGAAAGGTCTATTTAGTGAACTGCAGCTAACCTGGATGAGAGCTATGGGAAATGAGGCTGAAGGGGTAGCCATACGCCAGAGCATGAAAAACTGGTTCTGTTGTATTACGGAGTGTGTACGTAAATCTCTGTGACTGATGCAAATGTCCAGAAAGTCATTGGTTGGGTTTATGTTTTATAAAGGTCACTCTTGCCGCTGGATGGAGGGCAGAGGGGAGACTCCTAACTGCAGTAGTCTGAATAAGAGAGAGTCACAGCTTAAATGAGGGGGATTAAATATTTGTGCTGACTTTACCAGTTTTTCTCAATTCCATCACTTTCTCTCTAATTAAGAATTAGAATATGTCACTAGAGAGAAGCTGATGGAATTGAGAAAATAAAATAAGCTATAGAAGCAGCATGAGTTGGTGTGCAAATGGTTTAGAGCTTGACGACTAGTCAAAAGATTGGTTTTAACCAATTGGCAGTGCCTTGGAAGCCATGTTCCGCTTCTGAAAAGGTCATGACCATGAAAATCCTATGGAGCCATTCTAGGCTACACGTATGGAGGTGCCATGAAGTCAGAATCAACGTGACACCAGCAAACAACATCCACGACAAGATATGGGGATGAGGGAGAAGGAGAAATTAAGGATGTGTCCAGGTTCTGACTTCAGTGGTGACTGGGTAGCCGGCAGAGCCCATAGGAAGAGGGGCAGTGAGGTGGAGTGGGGAGAAGATGGTGAGAATTCAGGCTTGTGCATGTTGTTTGAGGTTGAGGTACTTGTGGATCAACATCGTATACCTGTTCAGAAATCACCTTTGGAGTTAGACATTTCTTTTGTGAGTCCTGGCTCCATTTATTAGTATGTGACACTAGCAGTTATATGTTTATTAGTTATATGTCACTTCACCCCTAGGTTGGATCCATTTGTAAATGGAGATTATAATAGTACTTATTTTACAGAGTGAGTTGATACATTTAAAGCATTTATTAAATCCCAATAAATATCACTGTCACTGAGTTGATTCCAACTCATAGCAATTCTATATAGGACAGAGAAGAACTTTTTTAGGGTTTTCAAGATCATAGGTCTTTACGGGAGTAGACAGCCTCATGTTTCTCCCATGGAGCAGCTGGTGGGTTTGAACTGCCAACTTTTAGGTCACCAGCCCAATGCTTAACCTGTAGTACCACCAGGACTCCTTTAAAACACTGAACATACGTACTACATAGACCAAAACTCAGTGCCACCTAATCAATTCCAACTCACTGCAACCCTATACATGGTTTCCAAGGCTGTAAACTTACGAGAGCTGAAAGCCTCATCTTTCTCTTGTAGAGGCACGGGTGGGTTTGAACTGCCGAACGTGCAGTTAGCAGTGCAGTGCTTATCCTAGAGTGCCACCAGGGCTCCTTAAACTTAGTACATAATTACTTAATAAATGACTAAAGTTCATTGCATTAACATTTGGATATACAGATCTGAAACTAGGTGAGACCTGGAGATTTAAGACAAGAAGGTGTTGGAAGAGCCTTGGGGAACACTATGGTTTAAAGGTTTTCCCTAGGAAGAAGCCTCAGCAAAGAAAAAAGGGGATCTGATAAGAACCAGTAGATTCTGGTGTCCGAAAAGTCTGTTCCAGGAAGAAAGGAGTCAATGAGTGTAAGACGCAGAAGAGAGTCAAATCAATAAGGACTAAAGAGTGCCCTTTGGATTTGGCGATTAGATGGTCATGGGGATCTTTTGCAGAGTCATTTCAGAGGTAGAGAGGGAAATGATTACAGCAGGTTGAAAGTGGATAGAAGAGAAGAAAGCAAAGACAAGTGTTGACACAAGAAGTCTGACATAAGATCAAGCAGGGAGTGAGAGAGAGACTGGTAGCCAGAGGAAAGGTCAAGGTAAAGGAAGAGGTGTTTGTTGTTTTTTAAGCTCAGAAGCCACAGTGAAGCAGAATTTGACATTAAAGGAAAGAAAAGGAACGCCTGGTGGAATGATGTTCCTAAATTGATGGAGTATGTTAGCTCAAGAAGAGAGATTGAGGGTCTCTCTTGGAGCAGGAGAGTACATTTCTTTCTTTGAGACTACAAGGATGAAGTGAACAAGTGGGTAAATTCTGCCAAGGCGCCCTGATTTCTGTCTGAAGTAGAAGATGAAGTAAGCCCTGTAAGGGAAGGAGGTTAGAGTTAGGAAATGATACGGTATTCAGGATGGCCCTAAAGGACTAGCTGGCTTAGATGTCATATATCTTTTTATTTTGTTTTGCTTTTTATTGTGGTAAAACATACATAACATAAAAAGTTTACCATTTAAACCATTTTTAAATGTATGATTCAGTGGCATTTACCATGTTGTACTAACATAATCACTATCCACTTCCAAAAGTGACTCCTCACCCCAAACAGAAACTTATTACTCCTTCAGCAATAACTTCCCTGTCCTCCTGCCCCTGACCTTGGTCATCACTAGTAAATGTTTGTCTTGTTGCAATTGCCTATTCTAGATATTTCACATAAGTGGTATCATACAGTATTTCCTTTTGTGACCGACTTATTTCACTCGGCATCCTGTTTTCAAGGCCCCTCCATGTTTAGCATGTTTCAGTACTTCATTTCTCATTCCATTGCAGGTGCATTGTCTCCACCTTTTGGCTATTGGTATCATATATTTTGATGTGGAACATACGCAACTGTTCAATATTCTCCATTTTGGCTCCACTGGTGTCTTTACTATCTAGTACAAGGGGGTTTCAAAAAGTTTGTGGAAACACGGAATTAAAAGATAATGGAATTTTTCCATGAACTTTTTGAAGCCCCTCGTATCATATAACAAAAATATCACAAGTGCTCTAGAGGAAGGAATGCTTTCTCTCTTTTTTGGCTGTGGAGAAAAGTCTTTCTTCAACCGATGTTCCTTGCCAGTCTTCATGTGGGATAGCATCTGTCTTCCCCCACTATGCTTTTTATTTCTATTGGTTTCTCTTGTGATGTCACCCGTATTGTTTCTTGTGCGTGTTATTTGCATTTTCTCCCTCTTTTCTTTGGTTAGATTTGTCTATGGTTTGTCAATTGTATTAATCCTTCCAAAGAACAAACTTCTTGTCTTGTTGATTCTATATATTGTTTTTCTGTTCTTTAACTCATTTATTTCTGCTCTAATCTGTATTATTTCTTTCCTTCTGATGACTGTAGACTTAAACATTGCTGGGTTTTTTTCTAATTGTTAGAGATGTGTTAATGTGTTGATTTTGGCTCTACTTTTTTGGATGTGTGCGTTTATTGCTATAAATTGCCCTCTAAGCACTGCATTTGCTGTGCCCCAAAGGTTTTGGTATGTTGTGTTTTCATTCTCATTTGATTCAAGGAATTTTTTATTTTGCATTTTATTTGCTCTATCATACAGCAGCTTTTAAGCAGGGTATTACTCAGTTTCCATGTACTTGATTTTGTATACTTGATCTATTGTTTTCTAATTTCATAGCATTGTGCTCCGAGAAGATGGTTTATAGTATTTGGATGCTTTTAAATTTATTTAGGCTTGCTTTGTGGCCTAACATATGGTCTGTACTGTAGAATGTTCCGTGTGCACTGGAAAAGAATGTGAATTGTGCTATTGTTGGGTTGAGTGCTCAGTATAAATCTGTGAAGTCAAGTTAATTGTTTAGTTCTTCTGTGTCTTTGTTGTGTTTCTTTCTATTCTGTCCTTTTTCCAAAGTGGTGTATTAAAATCTGCAACTATTATTGTAGCGTTGTCTGGTTTTTTCTTCATCCTCCTTTCCATTTGCTTCTCTGTGTTAACCTGCTCATTTTATACCTAAAGGTTATTTGCTTTAAACACATTCTATATGGATATGACTTTATTAACATAATGAAACCCTACTCCCATTTGGGATTACATCTACAAGTATAGGGTTGCATTTACAGCACATATTTTGAGGGGATACAGTTCAATCCATAACAGCAGTTATAGGGGTTGCGATCCTAGTTGGGATTTTGAGGTGGAAGCAGAAAAGTTTGGGGAGTTGGATATGATGTTTACTGACTTGCTTGCACATAGGGTTTAGGCTGGGTTGAGGTAAGAGTTTTGTCAGGATTATGGGGATAGACTTTGGAGAGAACAGGAAGACTCAAGAAGTGGCAGTGCCAGTGCAGTTAAAGAGCAGCAGTAAGAGGAGGGTTCCTGGAAGTAAGCTGTGTGTAACCTGTGGGGTATAGCATGTGAAGATTGCAAAGATAAGCTATAGTAAATCCCCAGGATTTACAAATGGATAGTCAGCTTATGGACATTTGTTACTGTTAAGTGCCTTCCAGTGGCGTTGTGGGTTAATGTGCCAGACTGCAAAGCCGGTTGAACTGCAAGGTCAGCGGTTCAAGCTCACCAGCTGCTTCTCTGAAACCCTATAGGGGGTCGCTATGGGTCAGAATCAAGTTGATGGTACTTCACAACAACAAATTTGCCCTCTGTTGGAAATGAGTGAGCCGACCACTGTTCTGCTGCTCCTGTGGGCTGTCAAGTCACTCCTAGCACCCCTCTCAAATAGGGTTTCTCAGGCTTTAAGTCTTTAAGGAGCAGAAAGCTTCATCTTTCTCCCACAGAGCAGCTAGTGGATTTGAACTGCTAGCTAACACGTAACCCATCCGGACTTCTAGTAACCTTTACTTGTAACAAATTCTTTTTCACCATCACCTTCACTTGCTGCATGTGCTGCTTTTAAAGCACTAAGAAGACTTCTAGCCATTTCCCATGAACTTAACCCACACCACTGCTGTTGAGTCCATTCTGACTCCCAGTGACCCTCTAGGACATAGTAGAAATGCCCGGTAAGGTTTGTAAGGCTTCATAGAGGCAGACTACCACACCACTCTCCCATGGAGCGTCTGATGGTTCCTGCTGCCCACCTCTCAGTGAGCAGTTGAGCATTTAACCACTATGCCACCAGGCACCTCTTGTACTAAGCTCACTGCCATCGAGTTGATTCCAACTCATAGCCACCCTCCATAAGGTTTCCGAGATTATAAATCTTTACAGAAGCAGAAAGCCTCAGCTTTCTCCTGTGGAGCAGCTGGTGGGTTTGAACTGCTGACCTTGCTTTTAGTAGCCCAGTGCTTATCCTACAGCACCACCTTTCTTGCATTAAAGTAAAGCTAAATCAGAACCATATGCACCTGTTCCAATTTACTACAAATTCAACTTAAAGAGTCTCATTCGTGACCCAGGGGCTACCTGTAGTTCTGAGCAGGTAAGTTGGGTATAGTTACAGGAGATCAGGTCAGGAATTGACTAATTCATCTAGTACAGGAGTTTGTGAACTTTTTCTATAAAGGGTCAGATGGTAAATATTGTAATATTTAGTATAAGCAGCCATACAATCTCTGTTACGACTACTCAACGTACTGTTGTAGTGGGAAAGCAGCCACAGAAATCAATGGGTATGACTGGATTCTAGTAAAGCTTTAGTTCCAAAACTAAGTGACAGGCTAGATTTGGGCTGCAGGCTGTGTGACGTTTGCTGAATCTTGATCTAGAGGCTTGGTACAAAAGTGTGGCTCACAGGACCAGCAGCCTTCACATCACCTGGGAGCTTGCCAGACCTCCCCACACCCCAGATTTACTGCAGTTTAACAGAATTCCCAGGTGTTTTGTATGAACACTAAGGTTTGCAAAGCACTTTATTAGAGATCTTGAAGTCTCTCAGGATGATGACAGGAAGCCAGTGAGCAAATATCAAAATAGTGCCAAAATCTGTTGTGAATGGGGGAAGGTTGGTATTTGGTATTGAGAAAGAAACTCAGAATGGTGTGGCCAAATAACATGGGCTATAGACAGAAGGACACAAGGAAGCAAAGTTGCAGAACAGTGGTCTGCAGCTGGGAGAATACTGGTCCACTTCCCTTTCTACGGCAGCCACACAGCCCAGTCCCTTCCTTTTCTACCTACTTCCTTCTCCAATTCTTCTCTTGGAGGTAGATGTCCAATTGCTCGCTTTTTTCAGGTAGGAGGAGTTTACTCTTATGACTGCAGTTTTGGCCATGTGCCCAATGTGGAATTGATGAAGTTCATCGCAATGGCAACATTTGGCTCCTACCTGTCTACTTGTCCTGAGCCTGAGCCAGGCAACCTGGGTCTGACCGTCTACCACCGGGCATTCCTCCTCTACTCCTTCCTCCGCAGTGGGGAAGCCCTGAATCCTGAATATTACTGTGGTGAGAGGCAGGATGGGTGGAATGTAGGATGGGAGGGAGCATAGAATGTGCCTGAGAAATTATGCAGGAAATAGCTAGGGTTGGGTCCCCTGGAGAGCTGAAAGTACAACTGGAACACATTAATAGTGTTATTCCCCATGATTTCATTATAGTCCTCTCCTCCTGTATATCTGTCAGCTGACTAATAACATTTTCCCTTTTCCATCCTCACTGGTCTTCTAGGCTCTCAGCACCGCCTATTTAATGAGCACCTGGTCTCTGCCAGCAGTAACCCTGCCTTGGCCCTGCGTCGGAAGAAGCACACTGAGAAGGAGGTGCCCGCTGACTTGGTCAGCACTGTGTCTGTACGGCTTCGAGAGGGCTATAGTGTCCGAGAGCTCACACTGGCCAAAGGTAAGGGTCTTTAGGTGCTGATATATATCAGAAGTCACTAAGAATTTGTTCAGGAACGACCTGCTGAACAAAGCGGAGGCACACGTGGACCACAGGGGAAAGTGCTTGCCGTTGAGATAAATCAATTTTGAGTTCCCTTAGCACTTGGCCTCCCAGTTCCATCTCCTCTGGCCAAGGTGAGTCACCAGAGGGTAATGTGGTATCCTGTTTTCAGGTTATTCTTTCTTTACACTGCTGTTGTGTCGGTTAGCAGGCTCTGATCCTGAAATCTGTGGAACTGTGCTTGGAACCTTAGGCCAAGCTAGAGATGTAGGAACTAGGTGATGGTTTCAGCTAGCACTTAGTTCCAGGCCTGGAGTCCTTTGCCTTCTTCCTCTCTGCATCCCTTCTGCTCCCTGCAGGAGGCTCCCAGTTGGAGGTGAAACTGGTGCTGCTATGGAAGCATAACATGCGCATTGAGTACGTGGCTGCAGCGCCCTGGCCCCTGGAGCCTGAGGGTCCTCGAGGAACGCGGGTGGAAGTGACCATGGAAGGTGGCTATGACATTCTGCATGACGTATCCTGCGCTCTGAGGCAGCCTATTCGCTCCCTTTATCGCACCCATGTCATCCGGCGCTTCTGGAACACTCTGCAGAGGTGAGCGGGGGCCCCCACTCATTGAGTGATGGCCACCTTGGTTTGGAGGAACAGACTGGCAAAGCTGGAAGCTGAGAAGAGTCTCTTAGAGCACAAGACTTGTGTCCAGGGTTTCATGTTCCTCTGAAGCATCCTTTCTGTGCACGCTTGCCAATCAGTGTATGTCCACCATGACTTATGGTTGACCCTTGTTCCATAGCATCAACCAGACGGACCAGATGCTAGCCCACCTTCAGTCCTTCTCCTCCGTCCCCGAGCATTTCACACTTCCTGACAGCACCAAGAGCGGAGTACCACTCTTCTACATCCCTCCTGGCTCCACCACCCCGGTGAGTGAGTGACTCTGGGGCTCATTGTCCTCAGTTCTTCCTTGGACTTGGATTAACACAGCTTTTGGAGCCCAGAACCACCTTCTATTTTTTTCCTTCCCAACTCTGAGGTGCCCAACCCAGAACCGTAAGCATTAGCCTCAAGAGCATCTCTTCTCCCTGCTCCCAAGTCCCTGGAGAAAAGAATCTGTAGAGAGAGGCTGTCCTCAGTAGCCTACGGCACTCCCAGGTTACAACTTGCAGACTGCTAGGGTGATGGTAGCCCAGCAGACGAGACCATGAGTCTCTTCACCTCGTCTCCACTTGGCACACTCTGACCTCTTCTACCCCCACCTTCACCTGTTGCTAACCACTGCCAGCCACCAGCACCTGCGGACTTTGAGTTTCCTGAAGACCATAGCTTTGTTTTGTCCTGTGTGTTCCTCACGCTCTGTTCACAGCTGTCTAGCACTGACTTTAGGTGGCTTATGCTGGTGTGTAGTGGCTCTCATCACGAGGTCTAGCCCTCACTGAGCCGCTTTCCTTTTGAAGTTAGTGATGTAAGCCAGGCAAGTGCCATCTTTTGCCTGGATTCAGCTTCAAAGCTCTAAAGGATTCCCTGTCTCCTGCATTCAGTCATCCTTATCTAGCCTTTATACTGGAGGCAGCTTTTTACCTCTGCCCCATGCTGGGCTGCCTGTTTCTTCAGCCGACACTACAACCATATCTGACCTCTGATCTGAGTCAGCCTGAGGTTTTGTTGACTTTTTCGAGGGTATGTGTTTGTTTTCCATGAATGTTCCTATAGATCTGTCCTTCTGTCCCCAGGTGCTCTCCCTTCAGCACAGTGGCTCAGACTCATCCCATGCCCAGTTTGCTGCCTACTGGAAGCCAGTGCTGTCCATGGATGCTAACTCATGGCAGCGTTGGCTGCACATGCATCGCCTGGTGCTTGTCCTGGAGCACGATACGTGGGTATCCTTCTTGGGTCATAGCTGGGATCGAGGAGCAGGGGTGAGGACTCAGGGAATGATAGGAAAGAGAGGCAGGAAATACGTACCAGCAGAAAAGCCCTTACCAACCTTGGAAAAGCCAAAGAAGAAACTGTGGTCTCTCTTAGTCTTCCTGCTCCTTTGTCTGATCTCAACTCGTCCTCCCCATTTTCAGGCCAATCCCCAAGCACTTGCACACCCCGGGCAGCAACGGACGCTACAGTACCATCCAGTGCAGGATAGCCCACTCCTCACTAACCTCTCTGCTTCGGGACTGGAGCAGCTTTGTGCTAGTAGAGGGCTATTCTTATGTCAAACTGCTTTCCAGGTGGGCAGCATGATGACCCCTCACTTTCCCCCACCACCTCATCCCCTTCCTCTTCCTCTAACCCCAGACACCACCTCAACCCAGCAACTTTTAACTTTGGATGCTTACTCACTCCCACTTGTCTCCAGTGCCCCAGACCAGCCCCCTTCCTCCTTCTACATGGTCCGCATCATTTCCAAGGCCCCATGTATGGTTCTTCGCCTGGGATTTCCCATCGGCACACCAGCACAGGCCCGGCACAAGGTAGGCTGGACCCTGCCAAACTCCTCAACCAAGGAGTGTAGACTAACTTCCTCTGCACAGACCCACAGGGCCAGGCCTGGTAGAGAGATGATCACCCAGACCAATCAGACTTGGCGAACTCTCACCCTGTTTGTGGGCCCCTTATCCCAGACCATGCAGGAGATAGGAGTAAGAGAGTCTGATCCTGTTTTCTTTACAGATTGTGTCAGACTTGCAGGAAGAGATCCTGCAGTTACGTTTCCCCCACCGAGTACAGAGTAAGGAGCCAACACCCAAAGTGAAACGAAAAGGGCTGGGGGGCTTTGGTGGGGGCAGCTCTCCCTCCAAGTCACCCCCCATGCTGGGACCGCAGCAGGCTCTGTCGGACCGGCCCTGCCTCGTGGTCCTACATAAACCCCTGGACAAGCTTCTCATCAGGTTGGTAGAGAGAGTGGAGATGGGGACTCTGGATGTGTGGAGCAGTGTTGTTTAGCTGATGCTGAAGAGATCAGCTGATGAGTTGTCCTGATTTTCCAGGTATGAGAAGCTCCCCCTGGATTACCGGGCACCTTTCTTGCTGACGCTGGAGCCACCTGGACCACTGCCCTTAGTGTCAGGCCGTTCAGCCTCCTCCAGCTTAGCATCCCTGTCCCGCTACCTGTACCATCAGCGCTGGGTCTGGAGTGTCCCGTCAGGGCTGGCCCCCTCGCTGCCCCTCAGTGCCATCGCCCAGCTGCTCTCCATTCTCACGGAGTACGTCTCCTCAGCCCTTCAGACTACTTGGGATAGGTAGAGAGAGAGCATGCAGGCTCCAGGTTTGGAGATATTTCCTTTCCCTCTGAGTCCCCATTCCGTCACTGCTGCGGAGCAAAGAGTACACACTACTGCCTGTCCCTCCTGCTCACTCCCTAGTTGATTTATTCTGTTCTCTGGTGCTCATTGAATCTGTTGTGAGGGGCCAGTGGTCTGAGCAGGACCTCCAGAAGACTAGGCTGTTTGCAAGGTGCTAGGAAGTAGGGATGGAAGCAGGGGTGAAAAGGAGGCTGTACTCTGATGGCTCTCTCCTTCCTTCATCATATCTCACCCCTCCCCTGGCCTTCAGAGTCCGCCTGTCAGAAGGGTTCCACTTTGCTTGCAGTGGGGAGGGGATCATCAACATGGTCCTGGAGCTCCCAATTCAGGTATGTGCCGCAGTTTCTGATAACCTCCTCACCCAGGCCTGTGATCATTACAGGGACACTCACCTCTGAGCCGAGTTGGGACTAGTGGAGTGTCTACCTCATAGGGACCATGTGGTCAGAGCATCCAAGGCCAGACACCAGTCCCAAGACAAGTCCTGGGGATGGGGCAAGACCAGGCCAGATTTCTTTATTGGCTGGAGTTTGCCCCAAATCTCCCGTCTTACCCACAGAATGAGCCACCCGGGCAGGCTGCAGCTGAAGAGAAACACACCTGTCTTGTCCAGTACATCCTTTTCCCCCCACATTCTACCTCCACCAAGGACAGGTGCGTCCTGGCCCTTCCTGAGATCTGCCTCTCCAGATTCCCCCTCCTCCCCACTGTCCCTCTGATCCAATTCTCTTTCCCTTTCATGAGATGATCTTGATCCCCGAGCTGGGGGCAGTATTTGTTACACTGTGGCTCTCTTCTGGGCCTGCCTCCTCCTCTCCTTCAAGGGGTTGGCTTCCTGCCATGAGGTTGTGGACTGGACTCTCTCTCCCCCAGCTCAGAACTTTTCGTCTTTAGTTTCTCAACAGATGATGACAATGACGTAGAGGTGGAGGCTCTGGAGGGAGACTCCGAGCTCAATCTGGTCACAGAGGTTTGGGTGGAGCCACAGTATGGTCGTGTGGGCCCTGGCCCCGAAAGCTGGAAGCACCTCCAGGGCTTGACATACTTGGAGATCCCTCAGGCTGTGAGTGATTGCAAAGCCTTCACCTTTGGAGTACCGCACCCAGCCTGGGGTGTGGGTGTCCTTGTCCCTCTGAACCTCTGTTGGTTACCATTTGGGGGCTTCCTTGAAGTTGGGGCTAACTCCTGACCTCTTATGTTCACCCTTTAGCTCCACCCACGGGATGCCGCCTGCATAGGCTCCATGCTGAGCTTTGAATATCTGATACAGCTATGTCAGAGCAAGGACTGGGGTCCTCTGCCCCCGGAGCCAAGGGCCTCAAATGGTGAGTGGGGAAGGTGGCATGGAGCAGGAAGATGGCGGGGAGGGAGAAGGCACCACGCATCTTGGCTTCTTTCCTGTTCTCCTAGGATTGGACCAGGGAGGAGATGCCTGTGTTGAGATCCCTTTCCATTTTGACCTCATGGGTTTGTTGCCACAATGCCAACAACTCCAGATGTTCTTCCTTCTGCTTTCCCGAGGTGGGTAAACTTTTTCCCACTTAACTTCACATTTAATAGGCCAGCAAGCCTGGGGCAATTGAAGAATAGTGAGCAAATGAGTCAGCCAATGAACTAGTGAGTGATGGGACAGGAGGAAGGTGTGAGGCTGAAGGAGAGGCTTGGCTGGCCAGGGCTGAGTCGGGAGCAGCGGGCAGCAGGAGGCGCTTGGTGCTGAGCAGAGTGTGTGTCGGGCAGAGCCAGAGGGTGTTCCTCTCGCCGAGGGGCCCTGTCCCGCCAACGACATGGTGCTGTGCCTGCTGCACAGCTGCCTGGGGCAGGAGCTGAGTGACCGGGAGATCCCACTGACCGCTGCTCACCAGGCTGCCTTCTTGAGTGAGATACAGCGACGGACTTGCCAAGGTTCAGGTAAGCTGGAGCGCCCCACCTCTTTTCTGATATCAGATTCTAGCCCGGTTCCCTTCTCCCCACCACAATGGTTTCTGCCTTTGAGTTTTGCCCTCGTCCATCATATCTGGCCCCACTGTACATTGTAGGTCCAGAGGGACTACCAATGGGGAGCCGAGGAGTCCTGAACGATCAAGTTGTCAGCAGTGCCCCGGCCACCGGAGACTCAGCTCTTACCATCCTGGTCAGCACAGGTTCTGCTCTTGGAGCCCTTTTCATACTGACCTCCATTCATCGCTCTATATTCACGCTCCAGCCTTCCGTTACCCTTGATATTGAATGTCTCCTGTCATTTTCCTTCACGGTGTAACTAAGGTTGGATTCTGAGACAGAAAAGGGGTTGGACATTCCCTTACCAATGGCTCTGAGTTTGTTTCTCTCTTACAGAGTGTGGCTTCTCCAGAATCACTCAAGTCTCTCATTCCTGCCCAGCCCCTTCAATGGCGCTGCTATGCAAGACTTGTGACCCCCCAGCATGTATTTCTGACATTTCTCCCCGCTACCTTCACAGGTACCAATCGCTCACCTTTCTCACTACCCTAAGTTGTATGTTAGATGCTGTCGAATTGGTTCCGACTCATAGCGACCCTGTGTACAACAGAATGAAACACTGCTTGGTACTGTGCCATCCTCACAACCTTTCCTGTGTTTCAGACAATTGTTGCAGCCTCTTTGTCAGTCCATCCCATTGAGGGTCTTCCTCTGTTTTGCTGACCATCTGCCAAGTATGATGCCCTTCTCTAGGGACTAGTCCCTCTTAATGACATGTCCAAAGTACGTGAGACAAAGTCTTACCATCTTCCCTTCTAAGGAGCATTCTGGCTGTACTTCTTTCAACAGCAGTTACAAACTCCTCAGTTACAAACGCTTTAAAGTCCCTCACTGGCCCACCAGACAGCTTGGGTTTATGTCTCTTTTCCTATTCAGATGCCCAGCGCCTGGCTGCCTATGGCTTGGAGGGACCCTCTCAGGAGGAGACAAGGCCTAAGTGTGGAGATTGGAGTATGACCCCTGGCCTCAGAGATCTGGGAGGAGCTGGGGTCAGGACTGCAAAGTCCCAGGTTCCCATCCTCAGTGTAACCCCAGCCAGTGGTAAGGCAGCTGAGTCATTGCACTCAGTGAAGGGACTGGGAGTGGGGACCAAAGAAAGGATTTGAGACCATGTGATACCTCTTGCCCACAGACAATGTCCAGACTCCAGGAGAGCTGAGCCCACCCTTCATTCAGGGTTTACAGGCCGATACTGGGCGTCAGCCTCCCCAAACCGAGGGTGCAGATGGGCCCAGGACCAGGTGTCCTGTCTATATCTATAGCTGTTCCCTTGAAGCACTAAGAGAGCAAATGGTTGGCATGCAGCCTCCTCCGGTACCCCGAGATCTCAGCTTCCGGTGAGTGCTCCAATGTTGACCTTAGCCAGGGCCCCCCAACAAAGCTCAGGTGTACTAGCTGGCATGAGCAGACAGGTTGACTGTTAGTGGCGGGAACTCAGCTTCTCAGCCATGTCCAGCCAACTCTTCGCTGAGCATTTATAGGCAAATCGGTTGAAAGCTGGCTTGTAAGTGCATTTGATACGAATCCAGATGACCCATTTGAGTGGGTGCCTGACGAGTCTGAGCTGTCTGTTTTTCCCTACTGTGCGTAGAACTCAGTTCCTCGACCATTCATCCCCATCCTCAGCCTGGATGGAGCCCAGGTACAAGGAGGCAGCCAACCACTGTGCCCTGCTGCAGGAGCACGCACAGCGATGCTATGTCCGTGGTGAGCAGGAAGACCATGTGAGGGAGCTTCGGGGAGGAGTGGACTTAAGGGGAAAGAGATGGAGGGATTACAGGGGTGGGGGCTAGAGACGCTGTTCAGGGCCCCTTCCATTTCGGCTAGGGTTGTTCCGGAGCTTGCAGCAAGCACAAAGCGTGACCTCCCAGGACCTGCTGACAGCAGTGGATGCCTGTGAAGAGCTGCTCCAAGAGGTGGACATCACCCCCTTCCTGCTCACACTGTGTGGCCACACCTGGGGCTTGCCTCACGCGCCCCCAAGCCCTGGTCCTCTCAGCCCTGGACCCTTCAGCAGCAGCATGGAGGAGGGCCCCGAGCCTCGGGAGAGAGCTGTTCTAGCTTCTGAGTCCAGGTGAGGAGTGTACTGAAATGACGTATAAAGGGACACATAGACAAACCTTCCAGACCAGGGAACTAGCTGTGCCAGGTAGTACCGAAGTGTCAGAGAAACTCTAAAGTTTTGTCCCTGACTTTCTGGCTCTCCCCCCCCCCTCCCGCAAAGCTGCTTCTCCCACTTGCCCTGGCAGCAGTCTCCCTCCTGTCTTGGTGTGGGATATGGAGCTGGGTTGAGGTAGGAGATCCAAGTTGCACATGGAGAAAGTAGAGGCGTGTTCCCAGGACAGTCCCAGTAACAATTCCCCTCCCCCCACCACCAATCTGTGAGTTTCATAGGGGCATGAATGGTGTGTATTTTGCTCACTACTGAGCCCCCAGCGCAGTTTAGGGATTCCACACATCCCTGTTAAAGGTGGGACAGAGGGAGGGAGAAAGCAAGCAAGCAGACAGACCGGTATTTGTCACCATCAGCATTGTATTACACAAGGGAAACAGAAGAATCTGAGGGATGGGTGTGCTGATGACTCTCAGATTAGAACTCTATCTCGGTTCCCTCTCTTGAACCGTAAATCATCCCACTGCCTTCCTGCCTCCATCTGTATATCTCCAAAATGAATGTATCTTCTTCCTGTTAAACCTTGTTTTTCCACCTGTGTTCCCCATTCATGGTGAACAATATTACCCTCCACCCAGCAGTCCAAGCCAGCAAACTAGGAGTCATCCTGATTCATTGCTTTGTTTCACAGAAATATCTAGCCTGTAAGAAATGTGTAGGTTGGTCCCCCTGCCCTCTGCTTCCCGTGGTGTGTGCTGTGCACCCTTCTGAGAGACAAGGACAGGCATGGACTAGTAGGAAATGGGCTGCTCTGGCACTTGGTTGATCTTAATTCAATGCCCTCCACTCTGACCACTCAGCATAGAGACTGAGGACTTCAGTGAGCCTGAGTTCCAAAGCACTCGTGTCCTTGGCCAGCCAGACCCTGGCCCAGAGATCTGTCTGACAGACGTCTGCCAGCTCAGAGGACAGGCACATGATGCCCTTCATAGCCTCGTCCAGGTGGGCAGCTTGGGAGAGGGTAGAGTCCTGCTTTGTGCAGGTTGATGGTTCTCTCCTGAGTTGGGGTGTGTAGGTGTCCTGTTTGGGGGCATGGGAGTGTCTTACTTTGAGGCTGGCTGACACAGCCTTCTTTTGACCCCCATGAAGGAAAAGTTCTTGGAGATCAGCCGTCTCCACTTCCGCACAGTGCCCTCCAACCCTCACTACTTCTTCTATTGCCCTCCAACCGGCAGGCGAGAGGTGAGTGCTTTCTTCCTTTCTTCCCCCACCCCTTTGCCCCTTTGGCACCTCTCTCAGCCCACCTGGATCATCTTAAATCTTAGTATCAGTTCCTTGAGGCCTAGATGTGGCTTCTGTCCTACCTTGAGGTAAACTATCTTTTTTTGTTGTTGGTCAGGATGAGGGCCCCCAGGATACAGTAGACAGAAAAGTCAGTGACTTGGAGTTTTCAGAGGCTGAGCTGATAGGAGAAGAAGGTATGTGAGCAAGGGAGCAGAGGGGGGGAAGGCTGTGTCAAGCTGGGATTCAGGGGCTTCATGGCTGGGCTCCCACTGACCCACCTGATGTGTGTGTCTCTAGGAGACACATCTGCCTGCTGTGTGGTCACTGAGAGTGATCCAGAGCTGGAGGTGGAGTACTGTGAGAGTCGCGAACCAGACCTGGGGCCTGCTGGGCTGGACTCCACCTCGCTGTCAGATGCAGACACTGTGAACGCTGATGAGGACTCCTTCAGTGTTCTGGGGGGCGACTCGCCCACTGGGCCCGAGACATTCATGCATGATCTGCCACCACTCTTCTTACACCTCACGTGCTCCATGAGGCTGCGTGGACAGCACAGCTCGGTGCCCGTGTGCAGCCTGCCCACCTGCCTGGGTGAGGGCCATGGGGCTGCCCAGGGGGTATCAGTCTTCAGAACTGAGAACTGAGAATCTGTGCCAGCCTGGGGCCTTCAGCAACCCCTACCTTTCCCCTCTCCCAGGCCAAGTGCTTTCCAGTCTGGAGGGCCCCCCCATTGGAGGCCGAGTTCCCTTGAGGGACCTCAGTGTCACTCTGGATGTCTTTGTACTGACCTTGCCCCTAGAAGTGGAACTTCCCCCGCCCTCGGACCCTCAGCACCACCGGTATGACAGCAAGTTTGACGGGGGTGAGAAGGGTGGTCTGGGACTTTGTTGGGTTAGGAGGTTCATTAAAGAAATCCAAGGCATTTGGGCTCCAAGAAGGGAGTGATGACCTTTGCTCGCACCCTGTTCAGGTCAACTTCTGAGAGTAGTGCTTCATTCCCACGATCTCCCGGGCAACCATCATCTTTAAGGTCAGATGATGGTCTGGGACCACCACTGCCACCTCCAGGAGAAGAGAGGTACTTTCTCACATCTCTCGCACAGCATCTTGCTTCCTTGTTTTGTTTTCAGAAAACCAGTGTCTTACACCTTTCTTTCAATTAGGCACCCAGGACTGTCCAACTTGGCCACACCTCACAGGCTGGCGATTGAGACCACCATGAGTGAGGTGAGAGCCTTCCCTAGCCCAGCCTAAGTCACAGCCCCACAGCACTACGCCTGGACCCTTTCCATTATCCAAGTGGCTCTAGGATTGAAATGAGGCCTTCTTCAGTCTGTGAGAGAAAGTATCTCCTAGTCTGGGAGTGAGGTGATGCCCCGGAAGCACAGTAGTAAGAAAGGTACCCTCCTTGAGGGTGCTCTCCTACGTCCTCTGCCTTTTGCCATGTTCTGGGTTGCCCTCTGCCTCTAGATCCGCTGGTTGCTGGAAGATGAGATGGTGGCAGCACTGCGCAGAGGGGGTATCCCCCAGAGCCCTGCCCTGCACCGTGCAGCTGCCCACATTCATAGCTCTCCGGGGCGCTCCACCTGCCTTCGCCAAACTTTGCCACTGAGTTTTGTGTTTGGGCCAGAGCGCTCCCTCACACAATTCAAGGAGGTAAGCTGCCCTCAGAACATCCCATGATCACCTTGAGACTCCAGGCGTGGGTCTGGAAGACACTGAGTCCATAGAAATCCCTCCTACCTGCCTCCTCACCCCTGTACCCGGTAGTCCAACTCAGTGGTGTGAGACCCAGCTTCTCTCCAGTCAGAGGGCCTGTGGGACCTTGGCCAAGTCACTGACCCTTTCCTTAGGCCCCTGAGCTGTGGGGACGGTAGCATCTGGTGCACCAGGTAGTTGGGGGTTTAATGAGCAAGCATGAGAGTGCCACATGTATGGAGGGCTGCTGCCGCCAAAGCTCTGATCATGCTTCCTGCTCCCCAGGAGTTCCGCCGCCTCCACCTTCCTGGCCATGTTCTTCTTGAGGACACTGACAGTGGCTTCTTCTTTGTGGCAGCTGGCCAACAGCCAGCTGGGTCCCGTGGGGAGCTGCCTCCAGTGGCCTGGGATTGGCACAACCATGAGGATAGGACTGAAGGCGTCGAAGGGGAGGTGAGTGTTTGGGGCACTGACCTGGGAACGGAGGTACTGGTTGTTGGGTGTTCCAGGTTGGCCTACCTCAGCTAAGATTTCTGTCCTTCAGGCCCTGACAGCCAGTCCAGAGGATTCTGAGGGCCCTGCTCTCATCAGCCTGCCCAGCCTGCCGCAGGGAGGTAAGAGAGAACTCCAACCATGAGGTCGGGGGCTCAGGACCAGGAACTCGTCGATTCCTGGCCCTGTGTGAGGCTCCAGCCATTTGCCTTCTGTCTCCAGAGAGCCATTCGGGGCCCAGCCGGGGACTAAGCCTCCTGTCCAGTCAGGGCAGTGTGGACTCAGACCACCTAGGTAAGCTTGGACGGGAGTTTAAGCTGGGGAAAGTAGAGTCAGGGCTGTGCGGGGGAAGGTCTAGGCAGGGGTAGAGATGCTCATCTGCGGGGAGGGACCCTCGAGACCTGATGCCCTGAGAGGCTCATAGGAGCCTGAGGATAGTACTGAGTTTCAGCACATTGGACAACAGGATATGATGGTGGCAGCAGCGGCTCAGACAGCGAGGGTCCCTCTGAAGCCCTTGGGGAGAAGGTCTCGTTCACACTGAGAACCCCACCTGGATCAGCACCTCCACAGCCTTTACTGTCAGGCCTCCCCGGACCGTCCCTGCCTGACTTCTGGCTCATCGTCCGGGTACTACAAGATCGTGTGGAAGTCTATGCCCATGCACGGTAAGTAGATGCCAGGGCTGTTTGCACATCTATCCCCAGTATTGTTGAAAGCAGGATTTAACGGCACATAACAACAGTTCAGGGCAACTTCAGAAGTTGCTATACGGAAATAAGGAGTAGTTTGTTGTTGTTGTTATGTGCCGTGGAGTCGGAACCGACCCATAGCGACCCTGTACAGGGTTTCCGAGGCTGTAAATCTTTACAGGAGCAGAAAGCCTCATCTTTCTCCCACAGAACAGCTGGTTGTTTTGAACTATTGACCGTGAGATTAGCAGCCCAATTCATAACCCCTACACTACCAGAGCTCCTTTAAAGAGTAGTAGTAACAGTAATAATAGCTCTGGATTACTAGCTGGGCTGCTAACCCCAAGGTCAGCAGTTCAAATCTACCAGCTGTTCCTCATGAAAAACATGAGGCTTTCTGCTTCCATAACGATTTACAGCCTCGGAAACCCCTTACAAGGTCACTATGAGTTAGAACCAACTGGAACACCAATAACAACCAATAACATTAGCAGATGCTGTATTCTAAGTGTTTTATATGGATCGGTTCATTTAATCCTTGTAACAGTTCTACGAGTATTATTATCTTCATTGTTTAGCTGAAGAAATTTAAGCACAGGTGAATTAAATACCCACCCAAGACCATAGTTAGCGACAGAGCCGTCATTCAACTCTAGAACCCAGTTAAATACTGCTGCTCAGCAGGCTGGTGTTGATGGTAGGGAGGCCAACCATTCTGACAAGAAGATCTGAGTATAAAGAGGCAAACTGCATGGTACCCGCCTGGGAGCTGAGGAGGCGGCCACAGAGTCTAGGCTTCCAGAATTTTACTCCTGAGTATTCCTTTTTTCACATTTTCAATCAGGTTTACTTCCCTTTGTGTAATCCTACATCCTTTGCATGATTTCTCTTAGCCACAGCTCCTATGACCGCCCTCCCCCACCCCCTTTATGCCACATACAACTCGCTCTGCACTGCTCCATTCTTCTTTCCCCAGGAGCATGATACGGGAGGACGGAGGGCCAGGCGCCGAGTGTCGCCACCTGCAGCAGCTCCTAGTGAGGCGAGTTGGGGAAATCTGCAGGGAGGTCAACCAGGTGAGGAGCAAGTGGGGACAGGGCTCTCTGGGCATAGAGATTCTGCTCAGGTGAAGGAGATTCAGGAACTTACCTTCGTAGGCTATGAGGTCCATCTCAGACTCCACAGCAACTATGGGATGTTTTCTTCCACCCCCAGATAGTGGAATGCACTATTTTTCTTCCGGTTCCCTGAAATTGGTGGAATTCTCCACAGCCCACTCCCAGTTACAGCGAGTTAGTTACCCTCATGGTGTCTCAGTGCACCAGTACCTGCAGTTCACTGCTTTGTGCCAGGCTTTGGGAAGAGAAAAGGGAGCAAGGCAGAGGGAAACAGACTTTGTGGAACTTGGTAGAGTGAAAGAGAGACACTGTAACAACAAAATTACACAAATGTAATTCACCTACAATTGTGAAGAATTCTATAAAGTAGAGACTATATTCTGAGCATAAAACAAGGATCTGACCAAATTATCAGGAAAGGTTTCTTGAAAGAAGTGATTTTTTTAAACTGAGACAGAAAGGTGGTAAACAGGAGGGCAAAGAGGAGAAACAAGTGTTCCTAACTGGGGTTCTCTCAGAGCCCTGAGCTCTGTAATGGTGGGACACCATCCATCTCTGATTTCCCAGGGATTGCTGATGTTTTTGATGACCTTTAACCCCCTAGTAATGATGGGTATTTTACTCACCCCAACTGCTAGCATCAGTTCCTTGATAGCCATACTCCTCCTCCCCTCAGCGACTACTTCTTCAGGACCTTCATGACAGTCATGTGTGTAACTCTCTTCTGGTGGCTGAAAGCGAAGAAGATTTGTGGCGCAGTGAGACCCCCTTCCATTCCCGTCAGCAGCTGCCACTGCCCAGCGATGGTGAGGCCCCACCCTATAGCCGACGGTGTCGTTGCCCTTTCTCTCATCCAGTACTCCGGTGAGAAGCTGAGGGCATCCATGCCAAGGAATGCGGTGAGAAGGAGGAGGACTTGGACAGGAAAGGATCACTGGATCGGGCTGTTGCAAGTTCATCAGCACCTTTAGTAAAAGCAGTTTCAGTGGCGAGATGGAATTCGTAGCCAGCTGAAACTAGGCAGGGAAAGCATGCTAGTTGGATCAGAGAATAACTTCTCTCAAGTCGCTTGGCAGTGGAGAGAGAGAGAAAATAGATACGGCTCAAACTAGCAGGAGATGTGGGGGCGAGGAAGGAATTTTAAGATGTGGAGATTTGCACATGTTTGTGTTCCACGGGTAAAGAAGCAGTGGAGAGGGAGAGGTTGAAGGTTATAGGAGAGGAAAGATCATTGAGGGGGCTGGCGGTAGTGGGGGTGAAGTGAGATGTGCAGCAGAAAGGTTTGCTCTCTGGTTGGCTGTCCCACTAAATCAACACAGGACCCATTTGGGATTTTTTTTTTTGTCATGGTAAAGGAACACATGATAATGATAACTGAAGTCTTGACCCTTCTACCCACTTTTCTTCTCTTATTCCTGTGACCTCTAACTCCCTAAGCTTGTGGAGGAAGAGGTGCATCATGTAGTGACATGGGTTTACAATTGCAGTTTTCCCTGGGTTTACAATTAAAAATCAGACCAGTTCTTATTTTTCGCATTCTCAGCAAGTCTGTGGAAGCACGTTTTTAACATTTCCACGAGAGAGCATCTCTCAGCACATCCTGGAATGTTCTCCATATCAGAGCAGGATCCCTGTAATTAGTGGACGTCCCATGGTTTCGAAGGCATCTTTTGCAAATTGAAGATGAGCTAGGACAGCCAAGCGCTTTAACTTCAAGATGACTTCCTGTAGCCTAAGATGTGAGACCAGGCAGAATACTGCCCTTCCTCCTTTCAGTCTCTCCATATGGTTTCCCTGAAACCCTTAGCAACCAGAATCCCATCATGGCACAGAAACTGCAGCCTCCTGGGAGTCCTGTAGACTGCTCTCACGTGACAGTAGTGTCGGTGGGAAACCACATTGCCAACTCTGACCTACTGGGTGATTCCTTGTCAACCTGGAAACCTAGGAAAGCTAGCGCAAGGCACTGGCTTTGTGTACCACCACACCACCCTCTGTTCTTTGGGATAGCTGTCCCTCCAAGACTCAGAACCCAGTCTTCTTTCCTGATGTGTGTAACCAAGTCAGGACACAAATAGCAAGCCAGGAATGAGGGGGTGGGCGAGTGGGCCCATGTAGAGGTGAGTATTTGGGAGGATAGTGTGTCCTTTTCTGATCCTTGTTCTCCCTTCCCCCCAGATTATGCTGCTGATGAGAACTGTGCGCCCCGAGGATACCTTGCAGCCACAATGCAGTTTGTCCCTGGTCATTTCTCCTGTGATGTGGTGTGGGGAACTGTGATCCGAGTCCATTCGCGCCTCAAGATGGGGCCTAGCATGGGGGTGTCTCGGGGTATGTGATTGGCATGAGGAGCGGGCAGGTGGAGGAGTGAGTTGGGTGCAGGGAGTGTCCTGAGCTTATGGTATTCCCGCAGCCATCCAGGCCCTACGCTCTGTGCTCAATGCCTTCTCAGTGGTGAACCGGAAGAATATGTTTGTCTATCAGGAGCGAGCAACACAGGCTGTGTACTACCTTCGGTATGTGGGTCCTGGGTGGGGAATCATGGGTGGCGTGTGTGGAAGCCTGTACAAAGACCTTGCTGCTTTCTCTCAGCCTCCTGGAGACATCCTGCAGTGACCGGCCATGGGAAGGTGATGTTGGACCCCGCTCTCTCGCTTTGTCCCGGAGCCAGGAGCCCATCTGCCCTGAGGAAGCCTCGGCATGTATTGCTCCCATTCCCTCATGGCCTCCTGCTTTGCTCCCTAGAGTGGGCCATGACCATATTTTCCCTGTAGGGTCCTCGTTCCCCCCTGGACGTGGCTGCCAGCCGCAGTTCGGATGCTGCTCGCCCTGTGGGCCAAGTGGACAGACACATCCAGCTGCTGGTGCATGGTGTAGGGCAGGCAGGTAAGGGCTGCAAGGAAGAGGTATTGGGGGTTGACCAGGTGAGGTTCTAAAGTCCTCTGACAGCTCCTCTTACTCTTTTCTCTGTCTGGGGCCCCTTCTCTAGTTCACACTATATTCTGGCCTCTTCTCAAGTAGGTGCTGGATGGGCAAGGACAGACGTCTGTGATGTCTAGTGTAGGATATGTAGCTGATTGAAATGCACCTTGGGGAAGAGGAACCATTCGGTTTGGTGCCTGGGTGGCTCAATGGTGTCCCAATCACCTGGGCTTCAGGTGAAGAAGCTGGGTTCAGGTTTGGATCTGTTAAGCATGAGGTATCCAGTAGGCTAGTATCTGTGGTTTCCTTTAATGTGTATCAGATCTTGGGTTAAGACTGTTACATAGCTTCTCTTTTCATCCTTACACTGAACCTGTCAGGTGGGTGTGTTTATTCTCATTTTGTGGTCAGAGGCACTGAGGCTTTGAGAGTAGAATCCATGTGTCCACACTCACTCAGCGAGTAGGCTGGCCAGAGAACCCAGTGCCAGCTGCTCTGGAGCTGGTCCTCATAACGCTGTCTCCAGCATGTGGGGAGGAGGGGGGTGGTAAGGGCTGATGCACGTGGTAGCTCGATCCTCTGCCAGTGTCCCCACCTTCTCAATGTGGCTTTGTCAGGTCCCGAGATCACAGATGAACTAGTGCGGGTTCTGCGTCGGCGCCTGGATGAAGCTACCCTGGATGTAATCACGGTCATGCTTGTTCGGAACTGCAAGCTGACACCAGCTGATGTGGAGGTAAACTCCCTCCCAGACCACGCATCTTTGCAAGGCTCAGCCACAGGTGCCAGGACAGTCGAGGCTGGAACATTGGCTATCAGCTCAGACAACCTCTTCCCATTCTCCACAGTTCATCCAGCCCCCTGGGAGCCTCCCCTCTGAGGTGCTGCATCTGGCCCTACCCTGCTCCTGCAGGCCCTGGCTTCCTGCCCTAGCCTGGTACCTGCGGCAGAACTTGCTCATCTTCCTCCACTCTCCCAAGTACACAGACAGCAACAGCCAGAACCACTTCCAGGTGAGATCTACTCACCTCTCCCATCTCTCATACCCCTCTTCCTGTGTGACTGGCTTTCCTACAGATAACTCCCAGGTACACTTTTGCCCAAGGACTTGTACGCACCCATGTGTCTTCTTGGGGTGCCCTATGACCTGCGTGCGCTCCACTCCCTGCTGCGGATGCACACACACCACGGAAGGCTCGCTCTCATCCCTTGGTTGTAGTTGGTGGTGGTCCACTGGTCTCATCTTTGTACTCTGTGGCTGTTCTCTTCCCAGCATCCATTCCCACCACAGGGCAGCCTCCCAGACTTGGACATCTACTTGTACAACAAGCCTGGTGGACAGGGCACTGGGGGCAAAGGTACAGAGCAGGGCCCAGGCCCATGGCACTATCCGGTGTGGGGAAGTCTTTTTCTGTCTTGTGTCTGAGAGGGCCTCTCCCAGCCTTGCAGCTGAGGAGACTCTGAAGTCCTGGGGCTGAGCCTGCCTCTGGATTTTCCTGCCCAGGAGTCGCCTGCATCACTCTAGCCTTTGTGGATGAGGGAGGGACTCCCATATCACTGGCATCGTGGCCCCCGACTTCTCTTGGGCCCCCAGACCCACTGCAAGAGGAGGAATTTGAGCAACTGACCCAGGTTACGCGCTGCCCAGTTGTGCTCAACAACTCTCCAGGTGGGGTAGTTGTGCTAGAGAGCACGCCATTCGGTTAATATAAGGTAGGGGTGAGATCTAGGGGCACCCTCACCCTCCCATTCTTTCTTCCAGCTCAGAACGGGGGCCCCCGACTTCGGTTGGATGTGTGGGAAAAGGGAAACATCAGTATTGTACAGCTGGAGGAAAAGCTCCGAGGAGCAGCTCGCCAGGCCCTGGCTGATGTCATCATGGAGCTGCGGCTGCTGCCAGCTCCGCTGTGTAGAGAGGATACCACCCCAGGTATGCAGGACAGAGGGGTCCCCAGAGTCCAGAGAAGGACAAGACCCAGGCAAGACAGTGTAGCAGGTACAGGGACAAAGGTGGGACTCAGGGAAGGCTTCAAGAGGAAGAAACCTGGAGCCAGGGTGTAGAAGAGAGTAAGTGGCAAGCAGGCTTCCATAGGGATGACCGACCGGCCCAGGAGCAGGCAGCGGCCCACTGTGGCTAGTGTATATATAAGGTGGGGCAGAGCCCAACAAGCTGAAACTGGAGAGCCACACTAGAGGAGTCTCGGACAGATGTTGAGCAAGATGCTGATACAGTCAGGTAGATCTGTGGTTGAAAGACCACTCCAATTCTCCAACTCCGGGCAGGAGTTGGGTTGGGTGGGGCAAACCGAGAGGAAAGATGCCTGTAAGCAGTCTGTTAAAGAGTCCAGGTGAGAGACGATGGGTCCTAAACAAAGGCAGGAGGCAGGATCAACTTGAGAGATACTATGTATATAAAAGCAATCGCATTTTATTGAATTTAGCGGGTAGGATGGTGTAGAGTAATTCTCATGAGAGAATGATGCTTAACCTATTCTGACCCCAAGGGAACTCCCGATAGGAGCCTATCTGAAATATACTCACGGTGGGGTACATCTCTGTTCCTCCCTTCACCTAAACAACCACACTCCCAGTGGGTCTTCTGACTCCTGGTCCTGTACCTACTTCTCTCCACTTTTGTTCATCAAATACATACAGTTATCAAGTACTGCCTGTGTCTGTATCGGGCACTGGGGTCCCTGGAATGAATACGTCTCAGTCTTTGTCCATGAGGTGCTTGCAGCCAGTGTATCAGGTGACCAGGGGCCCCTCTTGGGTGCTGGGAGCATCAGGAAAAAGCTCCTGTTTCTTTGGAGACTTGCTCTTGCCATAGAATTGTGAGGTCTGAGTGCTGGTTTAACGTGAGGCCCAGGATCACAGTCTGCTTTCTGTTTCCTCCTTGCTTCTGGTACGGCTCCTGCTCATGCTGACTTCTTCTCCCCTGAGGAACCTTTAGTGTGCCCCACCTTTTTCATTCTCTTGGTCTGTTGACGTCCCCTCTCTTCCATGTATTTCTTCCTATAGAAGGCCTCATCAGAAATCAATCTTCACAGTTGTCTATGGGCTTCAGTATGCTTCATCATTGGCAGAAGTACACACGAGAGTGATAGTGCCCTATCACACAAACACAGATGCACACACACAGCCAGCCACCCGCTACCAGCTACTTATACTGCCATTCACTAATAGAGTAAGTGGCAAGCAACTCGATCAGTCTTGAGGCTAGACTGTCTAGAATGGGATTGATGGTCAGTGACTGAATCTGTAATGTCTGGTTTCCACAGGAAGTCTCAGGAGTGGATCATTGGAAACCAAGAGCCCTGCAGGCCAAACCAGCACGTTTCCCCCTGCTCCTGTCTCCGGGGAACCTGTAACTCCCCCCAGTAAAGCTGGCCGGCGCAGCTTCTGGGATATGCTGGTAATGGGAAGGGTTCTCCCTGCCTGCCTGCCTCTTAGCTGCCCTTTACACTGCACTGCCCTGTTCCCTGTAGGTCTTGCCATAGATCTCCTTATATGTAAAATGGTGGTGCCCCTTAGGGACTTACAGATCATGGCAAGTTTTCTGTGCTTGTTGAAACCTGCAGGCTAAGTAGGGCTTTGCCCAGTGAGGAAGCTGAGGCTCAGCAAGGTTAAATAACCTGGCCACAACTGCCTTCATGACTGAAACTCAAGCCTCTAATCCTCCAACGCCTAGTTCCTGTTCCATGATGACTCCATCTCCCACCCCTTTCCCCTTCCCAATTGCCCTTTCTCATTCACTGCATTGTCCCCAGAGTAAAACAGAATGTGGGGATCTGGGTTCCCCCAAAACAACTGATGACATTGTCCTGGATCGGCCAGAAGACACTCGGGGCCGGAGGCGTCACAAAACTGAAAACGTTAGGACTCCCGGTGGAAGTGAGCGGGCACCAGGCCCAGATTCTGGAGCCCAGAGACAAAGGTAGACATGCGTGCGCGTGTGTGTGTGAGGTCCCCAGTGTCTGGTGGTGGTTTGTGTATACATCGTGTTGTGTGGGCATGTGAGGTTACCATACTCCTGCTGTATCTGCAGACGCCGGTTAACACAGCTAGAAGAGGGCGAGGTGGGAAACCTTCATCCTGTGTTTGCTCGAATCACTCAGCGCTGGCTGGAGTTTATGGTTCAGATTGGTGAGACCCCAGCTCCCTCTCCCACCACCTTCCTATCTGCCCGTCCCCCACCCCATAGTGACCTCTCTGCTTGCCTTCCAGGTTGTGCCTCTGTGTCTAGGAGCTCCACCCACATGGTGTCCCGGTTCCTGCTTCCATCCATCCTCTCAGAGTTTACCACTCTGGTCACCTCAATGGCTGGAGACACCAGTGTCCGAGTCTTTGAACAGCATTTGTGAGTTTGGGGTCGCATGGGGCTGAAGGGGACTTCCAGACTTCCTAAAAGCTGGGCCTGAAGGAAACCATATCCTTGGAGGCTAAGCTGGGGCCAGGGAGGCTTTCTCTGTGCCCCTTCCTCCCAGTAACCCCACTGCCGTCCAGTTGGTTCCAACTCACAGCGCCCTATAAACAGAGTATCCATAGGATTACTGAGCCTCTTAATTCCTTTTTTTCTAAACTTTTATTGAGAATTGAGTAACAGTTTACAGGGCCAATCATCAATTTGACACTCAACCAACCATATTTTATTTCATTGCAATGATTACAATCCCCTCCTTTCACCATCAGTACTATTTACTTCTATTCCTTTTTTTTTTTTAATGTACACAAAACACACAGAAAAGAGGCTCTTACCTCTATGGAAGCAGACTGCCTCAGCTTTCTCCTGTGGTGGGCTTGACCCCCTGACCTTTTGGTTGGTAGCCAGTGCTTAACACATGGTGCCACCAGGGCTCTTCTCCTTCCTGATAGGGGTTCAGAATCGGAGCTCTTCAGTCCTTGTTCCCATGGCCAGCTGGGCCCCACTCCCTGTCCAGCAGCTGAGCGGCATCTGCTGCTACTGGGAAGGAGCTTCTCACAGTGGCGGAGACCAACTCAGCAGGGTGAGGGCCTGACCTGGTGGATGGGGTGGTCTCTGGTCCTGCAGGGGGTGGGTGGGGTCTAGGAGCCCTGCCTCCAGGCCCCCATTTTCTACTTTCCTCACCCTGTAGCTGCCAAAGCTTTGCAGCGCTTTGAGCCGGGAGGTGATGGTTGCTCAGGGCGGAATGCTCCCCGCCAGAGGCTCTTGTTGCTGGAGGTTGTAGACAAGAAGGTATATGTGAGGACTGGGGCTGGTGGGGGGAAGGGGCTCTGTGATCTCACTGACCTTGAGTCCTGACCTCCAGCTACAGTTGCTGACCTACAACTGGGCTCCAGACCTGGGGGCGGCATTGGGCCGAGCGCTGGTTCGCCTTGTGCAGTGGCAGAACGCACGGGCCCATCTCATCTTCTGCCTCCTGAGCCAGAAGCTTGGACTGTTCCACCACTATGGGCAGTTGGACTTCCCAGTGCAAGATGAAAAGGTGCCTACTGCTCTGACTCCCTAGGGGTCAGTTAAAGGAAGTTCCAGCTTGACAATGGGAGAGGGGACAGACAGAGGGCAGAAGGAGTGGAAAGACAGTCTAAAAGAAGGCGTCAGGAGATGAGAGGGCCTAAGAGGGCCTAAGGGCAAAGGCTGCGAGGAACCCATTGTGACGTTCCATTTTTCTCAGGAGCCAAACCCATTTCTACTGCCTACTGTGGAAGCCGAGACCCTTATCCGGAGTGCAAGTCCCCCACTGAGCCGTGAGCAGGGCCGCCTGAGTGGGTCCTCACGTGGTGGAGGTCCCCTTCCCCTGGACACATTCCCCTTCGATGAGGCCTTGAGGGATATCACAGCTACCCGGCCCAGCTCCACACTCAGTCTGGTGCCCAGAGTTCCTGATGCCGTCACCTTCCATGGGCAGCAGTTCCTGGATATCAAGATGACAGAGCGCAGAGGTGGGCACTGGGCTGGGCAGCAGGGAGGAGCCGGAGAAGGAGTCTGAGGCTACTGGGGCCATTCCAATGCCTCTGACCCTCAGAGCTGGAGCGCCAGATGAAGATGGAAAACCTGTTTGTAACCTGGCAGCAGCGTTCTGCCCCGGCCAGCATGCCCATCAGTGTGAGTGACCCTAAGCTGTGCCCCTGTCCCACATCCTACATGAGGATCCTGTGGCCCTTCCTTGTCTTCTGCTCTACTGCTAACTCTTCCACCCACTCAGGCAGGGGAGCTGGAGACCCTGAAGCAGTCGTCTCGCCTGGTGCATTACTGTGCTACAGCCCTGCTCTTTGACCCGGCTGCCTGGCTACATGGGCCACCAGAGACTTCTGGGCCCCCTGAAGGACAGGTGAGGTCCAAGATTTCTGATTTCTCCTATGGGATCTCCCTTGACCCCGCAGTGCCCCCCACCCCCAGTGGGTAGAGCCTACCATAACCTCTACTCCCACAGCGGCGCCATCGTCCCGAGTCAGGATCTGGGAGCCGAGAGACCACCCCCAGCTGCGAACCCTCCGATACGCCTTCACCAGGCGTCCGTGAGGAGCCGTGGCTAAAGGAGCTGAGCTTGGCGTTCCTGCAGCAGTATGTGCAGTATCTGCAGAGCATAGGCTTTGTGCTGGTGCCCCTGCGGCCCCCCTCGCCTACCCGCAGGTGAGATGGTGAGCCCCCCCCATCTCACCAGACTAGCACCACATGCATGAGGATCTTAAACGCTTCCACACAGCCCTCATGCATCCAGGGAGCTCACCCCCACATACGTGCATAAAGCTGTGCACACTCTCACAGAGCTGTGTCTGCTTACATCTTATGTATGTTAATGTGCTTCCTACAGCCACACATAAATCTTGTACCCGCTCCAAAGCTTTCGGAGCAGGCCTTAAGGAGTCCTGCCCTGGCCATCCTCCTTGATGTTTCCTGAGACCGTATGTGGTTCCTGGCCTGAGGAGCAGCCCTCTGCACATCACTGTCCTTGTGCTTATTGGTCATGTCCACTCACTTAGCTGCTCCACAGCCAGTTGTTAACTAGAGGAGCTAGTTGTGGCTTTACAAACTTCCTGTTCAGTTAGGTTCTTATTAAAAATTTGAATTCCATTTTAAAGCTGGAGTTTACGCCCTCCTTTCTCACTAATCTTTAACTGTCACCAGTCTCTTGTTAAGTCTGAAACTGGTTTCTCACCAGGAGTAAAGGGAACAGCTCTTCTTGCCATCTCTTTGTGATCTCCGTCAGGAGAAAAGCTCCTCGGTGTACTGAGGGGGCTCCATGCCTTTCTGTTGTGCCCTCTTCCACAGTATCTTCCCTGCTTCTCTTCTCTCTTTGCCTATGAAATGCTGAAATTGCCATCCTCCATTCAAAAGGGCACCATTTTTCCCTTTCATAAGGCATCAAGCATCTCCTTGAATCTTAGCAACACCTCACAGGTAGCTCTCTCCCCTTGTGAACATCACCTGTGTCCACAGCAGCTTCTCCTGCTGTACTCTCATCCTCTCACTAGTAGGACACAGGGTTAGGCTCCACCTCCTCCCAGAGCCTTGCTCGAACTTCCTTTCTGAGCAGCAGCTGCTGTGGAGAGAAGCCTGCTCAACCGTCTAACCTGGACTCCAGGTTACTCACTGTGGGACCCCAAGCAAGTCCTTTTCCTCTCTGGGCCTGTTGCCTTTCCTGCAAAACAATTTCATGTAAAATGGATTCCGGGTCCAATGGCTGTAGTCTTCGCCTCACTGACCTGCCTCGTCTTTTTGTCCCCTTATCTCCTCTTTAGTAGTAGCCGGCTGAGGATGGCGGCTGCCTTTGCAACTGAAACCCGAGGCTCCTTCTCCTGCCCTAAAACCAAGGCTGATGGGAGCCCCAAGGTAACTTGTCATCCTGTCACCTGCCCCTGTTGTGAAATTGGTGATGCCCCCAAACCTCAATACCTCTAACCCTGAATTCTTTCCCAAGGCCTGAGGTCAGTGACCCTTAGTGATAAGAGTGAGATAGATTATTGATCTCAAAATGACACCATTAAAGTCAGTGGCCCAAGGGACCCCTTCCTTGCTGGCTTGAGCCTAGTGGGACCCCTGCCTCTTGCCCTAGTGTCCCAGTGTCTTCTTCCTTTCTCCAGAGCACTGGTTCTGCACTCACTACCTACCACCTGCAGCGGGCACTGCCCGGGGGTATCATCCTCATGGAACTGGCTTTCCAGGTGAGCAGGAGGGAGCATGTAGTGGGGAGAGGAGATCTGCCTGTTTCTTACCTGCCTGACTCATCTTCACCCTATTTCCAGGGCTGTTACTTCTGTGTCAAACAGTTTGCCCTAGAATGTTCCCGAATCCCTATGGGACAGGCTGTTAACTCTCAGGTATGTAGTGGGGACAGAAGATAGGGATATGGGGTGGGTAGCAAGAGTAATGCAGTGGACGGACTGGCCCGGGACTGACTTGGTGCTGCCGGTAGTCATACTGGTGCTCAGCCCAGTGCAGTGGCTTGTCTGCCCTGTGGTCATTCTGGCAATGACAGTAGCCTCCTTCTTTGGCTGGCCCATAACCATAGGTAGCCTGGCAGGGCATTTGAGCATAGTATGTATCTGGCACATGGATAGGTTGGTGCTGGAACCCGTGCTGGAGAAGCAGTGAATGAGGAGCAGAGTTGTCACCCACTCAGGGTATCTCTGACAGTTATTATTTATGTCCATGTCAGTCTCCCTCAAGGCCAGGGCCTCTAGACCCCATGAGGGTCGGGCACTCAGGGACTCAAAATAATTCAGAGGATCTCGTGAGATCTGCAGTCTTTGTAGATCCACTTGAGTGGGCTTCACTCCTTCATGTTTCCAGGAATGTCCTAGGGCTGTGCCTTCTTTGTGTCTCACATATAGTTTGAGAGATCAGGGTCCTTCTCCAGTACAGATCCCTCACCATTGTGGAGCGCTCTCACATCTGGACAGTTCACATCTAGCTCCTGCTTGGTTGCCTCTGATTCGGGTGTCTGGCTTCCTGATCTGCACAGGATGATGTGATTCAAAGCATGGTGAATTGATGTGCAGGAGCCTACTTAGGCCCTTTGCTCATACGGAGCTGTGAATGGGCAGGTGCTCTTTCACACTTCCCTGGAGTATTAGAGGGATAGACTACCCTCCATTACTTACTCTTGAGCCTCTTGAAGTCCTCATGGCTTCCATGCCCCCTGATCTCCAAACTGGCTCTCTCTGCTGCTCCTTACCTACTTTCTATTCTTACAGTTCTAATTGCTTTGTGAGTGCTATTGCTTATTAGGCAAATAACTACTAACCTCACATGGAGCGTTCACTTTTTGGAGTCCTGGTGTGACACTGTAGGATAAGCACTGGACCATATGGTGGGAGATTTCAACCCACCAGCCACTCCTTGGAAACCCTATGAAGGGTCACTGAGTCGAAACTTACTTAATGTTACTTAACAACAACATACAAACTAAAGAGGATGGTGATATTCTCAATGTACAGGTAAGAAAAACGACGCTTATAGAAGTAAAGTACTTTTTCCCGGAACGCACAGGTAATCAGTGACAGTGTTGTTGTTAAGTTCTAACTCATAGTAACCCTGTATGGGTTTGAATCACCAGCCTTGCGGTTAGCAGCCCAGTGCTTGTCCTACAGTGCCACTGCAGGGCTCCAATCAGTGTCAGTACTGGGGGTGAAATCGAGGTCTTTGTAGTTCTGATGCTTACTCTTGTTCATTTCAGTTTATCACATTGTCTCTAACTTTATGAAGAGCTTGACATTAATCGCCATGGTGGCAGAGCAAACTGAAGCACAGGGAGACTGTGGCTTACCCAAGATCACACAGCTTGGTCTGGCTCCTAGGCTGTACCTTCTCCTACAGTCATTGTCCTTCCTAATGCCTACCTTCCACCCTAGCGCCTCCAAGGGAGTGGCCAAGACAGATCCAGATAGCAACCCAACCTTCAGTAGTGATTTCCATCAGGAGAAGCACTCACTCCACGTCTCTGCTCTTCCTTTCCTCCTCCATCAACTGTTCGTTCATTCACTCACTCACAAACAGAGGCCCCAGATGGAGCTTTAAGAATGAGTCTGGAACGTTAAGTTTCAGCTTCTGGTGATGGAAAACTTGGCAATGATGATGATGGTTGTTTTGCAGGATTAATATACACACATCACTAAATTGTATACATGGAAATATTGAATGGGCAAATGTTCTTATGACAAAAGAAGACTCAAAACAGGGAGACCAGCATTCCAGGCAAAGAAAATAGTACAAAAACTGCTAAGGAGAGCATTCATGGTTTGCTATTGTCTCCTCAACAAGTACTTTGATGGGAAGAGAAGGGCAGAGACATGGGAAGGGGCCAGGAAAATTATGAATAGTAACTTCCTACAGACATACACACACACATTCACACACTCACAGACACACTCACCCTGCTTTACTACTTAAGCTTCCACTAATGCCATCTTCCAACGTGTTGTCATTTACTTATCCTGTCTCCCTCCTACTAGAATATAAGCTCCTTGAGGGCAGGGGTTCAGTTCTGTTTACCAGAGTATTGCCAGCACCAGGAACAGCTAGAGCAGTACCGGGTAGGTACACAGCAAGCACTCCACAGATAGTTATTGCACCAATGAGTCTGTGCTACAGTCTAATGGAACCAGATAGAGTGAAATGCGTTCAGTCTCTGTCCTCAAGATGGCCACTGTTTTCTTGTAAACACAGTACAGTGTAGAAGAGCGAGGTAATGTAATGGGGCAGGCTTTCCACAAAACTATGCCAGAGCTGAACTTGTTGAGCTTCCTCTTCCTAGATGGCCTGCACACTAACCCAGCCCCGTTGTCACCTCTCTAGCTGTCCATGCTATTCACAGAGGAGTGTGACAAGGTACGGGACCTGATGCATGTGCACTCATTCAGCTATGACTTCCACCTGCGCCTCGTGCATCAACATGTACTGGGCACCCACCTGGTCCTCCGGCACGGCTACCACCTCACCACCTTCCTGCGACATTTCCTGGCCCATCACCCTGATGGGCCCCACTTTGGCCGCAACCACATTTACCAAGGTCGGTGTCCATGGATGAGCCAGAAAAAGAACAAGGCATCTCTGAACCAGGGCTGGTGGGTGCACTCTCCGGGCAAGACCCTAATCTCTGCATCGCCTGTTCATTGCCTCATAAGACTTTTACCCTGCCCCCACACCTCTGGCTGTGTCTTCACAGTCTGTTTCATAGTCAAGTGGAGCTCCTTTGTCATTGGCCCCCTGCCCTAGGTCATCTGTTTGGAACCACTAAGTATCCCATCGCAGTGTTCCCCAGCAGCTCCCCTGGAAAGCAGAAGCAGTCTGCCTGCTAATCGGAGCCTTAGCAACTCCCCCCACACACCCACCCCTAGCCAGCTCAGTGTGTGTAACTCAGGCTCAGTGTCTCCTTCTCCCATAACTGGCCCCTCAGGGACACTGGAGCTCCCCACCCCACTCATCGCTGCCCACCAGCTTTACAACTATGTGGCTGATCACGCCAGCTCCTACCACATGAAGCCATTGCGTATGGCCCGGCCAGGGGGGCCAGAACATAACGAATACGCCCTGGTATCCGCATGGCACAGGTAAGGCTGGAGTGGGCACCTAGCCTGTGCTCAGGTAGTCCTGAGCTCTGGGGACTTCGTTTTCTTGGGCAGAAGAAAGAGGTAGGATGAGTTTTCTTGGAACCTCAGTGTTGATATCTCCCCAATCTTCACCACACAGCTCTGGCTCCTACCTGGACTCTGAGGGACTTCGTCACACAGATGACTTTGATGTGTCTCTGCTGGTCTGTCACTGTGCTGCTCCCTTTGAAGAGCAAGGAGAGGCTGAGCGACATGTTCTGCGGTCAGTAGATCCCCTACCTTGAGCATGCTCATTACACTGCCTCATCCTCCCTGTTCTGATCCTTACATTCCTGTCCCCCTCCCCACAGGCTGCAGTTCTTTGTGGTACTCACCAGCCAACGAGAGCTGTTTCCCAGGCTCACTGCTGACATGCGTAGGTTCCGGAAGCCACCCAGACTTCCCCCTGAACCAGAGATTCCTGGGAGCTCAACTGGTAGCCCTGGGGAGACCTCTGGGGCTGGTTTTTCCCCTGGACCCGCTCCCCTGTTCCCACCACTGGCTGCAGAGGTGGACATCGCACGGGCACGGTTAGGTCAGCTAGTACGGCTGGCTGGAGGGCACTGCCGTCGGGACACACTCTGGAAGCGCCTCTTCTTGCTGGAACCACCAGGCCCTGACCGGCTACGGCTAGGGGGGCGCCTAGCCCTGGCAGAGCTAGAGGAGCTCCTAGAAGCCGTTCATGCCAAATCCATTGGGGACATTGACCCTCAGCTGGTAAGGAGCTGTGGGCTCCCCAGGGGGCTGGAGTGCTTGCTCAGAATTTCTGTGGCAGAGTGGAAGGTGCAGGGTCAGCCGATCAGGGCCTGTGGACCCTCTTGCAGGACTGCTTCCTGTCCATGACAGTCTCCTGGTATCAGAGCCTGATCAAGGTTCTGCTGAGCCGCTTCCCCCAGAGCTGCCGCCATTTTCAGAGCCCAGACTTGGGGACACAATACCTGGTAAGTCCCCAGCGCCCTCTGCAAAGGAAGACATGGCAGAAATTCTCATCAGAGAATGCCAGACGTCCGCCTCAAGGATCCCTAGCCTGACCAAACGGCTCTGTTCTGGAGAGGGGTCCTGGGTGGGATCGGGCTACACTGATACATGTAAAAACCCTTCTAGCACTGAATGCAGCTATAACATAGAGCCCTGCCCTCAGAGGTTCACCCAAACCAGACTGGCTAGAGATTCTGATGGTCAAGGTCTAGAGCTGGAGAAGCATCAGAACCCACCTACACTTGGTCTTGGGGGCTGCAGTTCCAGGAAGGTCCTCTTGGGCTTTAAAACTTTGTTACCCAAAGTGTGTTCCTCCAGCCAGCAGCATCAACACCACATGAGAGCTTGCTGAAACGCAGACTGTTAGGTCACACTCCAGGCCTGCTGAATCAGGATCTTTTAGCAAGACCCTCAGATAATTTGTATTCACGTTAAAATGTGAGAACCCCTGTCCTAAGAGGGAGGTAGTGAGAAAAGAGGTGTACTGGATATGAGCACAGGGAGTTAGAAACTACAGAGATGGGCCCAGTCAGAGCAGAGGTCTAGGAGAAGCTTGTCGGGAAAAGATGGAGAGAAAGGAAGAGGTGGATCATGGTAAGGAGTCCTGCACCCTAAATACGGGGAAGCCTAGGGTCAGGGTCGTTCACAGAGGCTGAGATCAGTTAGGGTAAAGGCCTACTTGAGACAGGACTGAGCAGTTCTGCTCTGGGCCCAGTTCAAGCCTGAAGATGGAGTGATATGAAGGCTTTGTACATATGCCTCAGGGGTCTGTGATCTCAGCACAGAAGCAGTGGGGCATGGGGCTGATCCTGTGGGTAGGAACACAGAACAGAAATGGGTTTGGATGAGATCAGCTTGAGGCAAGTTGTCTGAGGTCCTTGAGGACCTCTCCAGAATGCTGTCTAGAAGGTATGTAGACATGGGGGATTGGCGCTCAGGGAAGAGCTAGGTAACATCTATATGAACAGGTGGTAATGGAAGCCCTGGGAGTGGAAGACAATGCCCAGTGGAGCTAGTAAAGCTGAGCATTAGGGAGCACACAGACATAAGGACAGTTCCGGGAGAAGTCAGGCTCAAGGTAGTCAGGAGGCAAAGAGAAGTTGTATCAAGGACAGAGAACTCCATCCGCTGTTTGGCTTATGTGCTAGGCTTGGTGCAGGGCTTCAAGATACACAACCTCAGTAACCTGTCAGTTAAGTGTGAGCCCCTCGTTCTGAGAATGCTCAGACAGGTAGACTGAGATCTTTCATTTGGAGACCGGGTCCTCAGTACTCTTGGAGAACTGGTGGGGTCAGTTGTGATAGTGGAAACAGACTTTTAGACATGTCCCCACTTCCCAGGGGTGCTTTGTAGGGTCTGCCTCCCAGGAGGAGATAAACCAACCCCCATCTCATTTTGTCTGTCACTGTAGGTTGTGCTGAATCAGAAGTTCACTGACTGTTTTGTGCTCGTGTTTCTGGATTCTCACTTGGGAAAGACGGTGAGAATGGGGGGCAGGGGAACTTTGTGTCAGCCTAGTGTGACACTGTACCCTACATGCCCCACACTAGAGCCTACTGAGTACCTGCTCTTTCTGAGCCCTCCTCCCTGTCTGCTCTCCCACCCCACCCCCCAACACTTGTGTTCCCCACAGTCTCTGACAGTGGTTTTCCGAGAGCCTTTCCCAGTACAGCCCCAGGACAGCGAGAGCCCCCCTGCACAGCTGGTCTCCACCTACCACCACCTGGAGTCTGTCATCAACACAGCTTGTTTCACCCTCTGGACCCGCCTCCTCTGAGGGAGTGGACCACTGAATGCCCCTGTTCCTCAAATCATGGACCGACAGTTGGCCTACTTGAGGCAGGACTGAGGAGTCCTGCTCTGGGCCCAGTTCAAGCCTGAAGGTGAGTGATAGGAAGGCTTTGCACATATGCCTCAGGGGTCTGTGACCCCAAACACTCAGAGCCATTGACTGGCCCAAGGCTTCAGAAGGTCAACACAACTCCCTCCCTCCCACCTGGTGGGGGTCCCAGAAGATCTTCACACCAGATGGCAAGCACTTACTCTGAATCCTGCCTCCAAGTCTTGGATTGTTCTGATTCCCCTGGCCCAGCCTCGGCTCTGCATTTCCCACTCGGACATAGCTACTAAGCTAAGACTCGTAGAGGCTCCACCAGTCCCAGCTCTGCCTCTGAGCACTTGTGGCCACGGGTAAGCCTGTGCTCTCAGATCTCTGACTTCTCATGTGTAAATGAGGACATAGACTCAAAAGCTCTCCCATCTCCACAGCAACACTGAGCATGAGCTGTGTACCCTTCTCAACAGGAGGGAAGCAGCCCAGAGAAACTGAAGGGTTAGACACTGTGTGTCCCCATTCCCCTAAATACATAACACATACAAAAACGTTCAGCAGAATGTCTTTAATTCAGAGGAGCAGATGCAAGATGCTCACCAGTGGTTCCAGAGAACATGGGTGGTGTGCAGGACCTTACTGGCCAGCCTGTGGGCGCCCCTGCCTGTTCCAGTAGGAATGCAGCCATGTCAAGCCCTCTACGGTGTCTCCTGAAGGGAGAGAGAAGCAGCATCTCAACTCAGGGGAAAAACAGCTCCTGTCCACTAACTGTCCCTCAGTGCTCCCTTCCCCGGAGCCACGCCCAGAGCCTCGTGCCACCCCTCACCTCGGGGCCGGTACTCGCAGCCCACAAAGCCTTGGTAGCCTTCATCTTCTAACAACTGGAATAGGTAGGGAAAGTTCAGTTCTCCAGGGCTGTCAGGCTCCCCCCGACCTGGAACCTGTGCCATTTGCACGTGTCCTGGGACAGATGATGAGCAGATGTGAGGAGGCGATGTTGAAAGTGTGGGAAGGCAAAGGATAAGAGTCCAGCAGATGAGGAAAGAAGAGAAAAGGGACCCCTTCTCACCAGTGATGGGCAAGAACTCTCGGATGTTTCCTGTCAGGTTCCCATCCATGATCTGCCAGTGGAATATGTCCTGGGAAGAGAACACTATAGTCTCAGAGCCTCCCTAGATTGGAGAGTGGAGGCCCTAGGAGAAGCATGCCTTTTCTCCCACTTACCATTTGTAACTGGAGGTTGGGTCTGCCAACCTTCTGTAAGATGGCTGCCGCTGGAGGAGAGGGGGAGGCATGAGACTCAGGAGAGCATAGGAATCGCAAGGAACAGGAGCTGACACAGGGCTAGGGGTCCTACCCTGCTGGGGGGTGTCCAGGAAGTACCGGGGGTCAGTGATGCGGGTGTTGATGGGTTCCAGCAGTCCCACGAGGTTCTCCTAGCAAATGTTGACGCTATGACTCCAGCTCCTCTTTGAGTTTTCCTCTCATTAGGCCCTGGTCAAGGGCCTCACCTGTCCCTCTCACTTGGGCCAGTGACCAGCCTGTGCCTATTGGCTTGCAAGTATATATGTCAGTCTACACCGATTGGTCTCACCTGAGCCAAGACCCCAGCTGCATGCCTCAGGTTCTCCAGAAAAACTGTTTCCATCTCAGCCTTGACAGCTGCTCGATCAGCCCCCAGGGGTACACGGCCCGCCATCAGGTGAATTCTGTGGGGAAGACAGGACTAGAAGGCTGTGGGGTCCAGAGACCTTGGCTCCTAGGTGCACCGTCTCAAGATGCCTTGCATGTGCCACCCACACTCCTCTCCCCAGGGCTCCAGTCCACACCCCCTGTCATGGTCCCAGTGCCTCAGGCACCTTGTCAAGCCTTCTTAGGGTTAACCATCGAGGCTCTGGATCCATCCCTCCTGCCTCAGCCCTCACTGTTCTCACTTAGCCCATCCTATCCTCTCAATCTCCCTTTATCTCCATCAGCCCCTTCTCAGCCTTTCAGCATACTGAGGTTCCACCTTTAACGTTATTTTGACCTTTACTCTTCCCAAGTATTGCATACTGTCTGCCTACTTCCTTTCCTTGCATGTTTCTTAGCCCCTTGTCATCTGCCCCCTCTACCTGTCTCCACTCACCCCTTAGTCGCCAGTTTCTTCCTGGCCCACTAGGACTCTGCAGGGTATGACATGTTTTTGATCACCTCACTTTAAATCTCCTCCTTCCATCACCAGTTGATCCTTCTCAACCATATCCAACTTCATGCAGATATATTCCAGCCCTCCCAGCCCCAACACACTCCATCTGCAGCCTCAAGAACTAGCTGCTGCACACACCTGAAGTTGGTAAACGCCAAGCTGCCTCTGGCCAATCAATGCACCCTCAGCAGTGCTCTTTACCTCCTGCCCATGGAGCAAAAGCCCACCCTACCATCGCTAATTGGAGTCCTGGTGTGGCGCTGTGGGTTTATGCTCCAGACTGCAAAGCTGTTTTGAACTGCAAAGTCGGCGGTTCAAGTTCACCAGCTGTTCCTTGGAAACCCTATACAGGGTCACTATGAGTTGGAATCGACTTACCAACCACAACAACCATCACTACTTGGTAGTAAGGATGAGTAAGCAGTGAAATAAGGGAGGCAGGCAATTTTTTAAAGGTCCAGGCCTGGAGGGGAGAAGGGAATTAGCCTTCTCTGAGCTTCTCAAATTAGAAGTGGCTACTTGACTCCTTGTCCCCAAGGTGGAGCAGGGTCATGGACTAGAGGTGCACACAAGACAAGATAGGTAGAAAGGAGAGGGTACCTGGGGCAGCCCAGAGCCTTGGCATAGAGCACAGCCTGCTCCAGCCCCTCTCGGAAGGCGGCCTGTCTCCCGGGTACAGCCCCCAGACCCATTTCCCCCTTCTCTTGGTCTCCTGCGGAGAGAACGAGCCTCAGCCCCCGGGCTCGGGCACACGCCTTCCCCACCCGCCCGACCCCAGCCGGGTTCCACCGGCGCACCCGGGGGCGTGTTGATCAACACCAGCCTCAGTCCTGCTTCTTGCCCCGCGCGCGCCAACGCCTCCGCCGGCTCCGCGTACGGGAAGGCCACCTCGGCGGCCTCAAAGCCCGCACTGCCCGCGGCCCGGAGCCGCGCGGAGAGTACGGGGAGTTCGGGAAACAACCACGACAGATTTGCAGAGAAGCGCAGCGGCGCCATGGCCAGGCAGGGAGCACAGGCCTGGGTTCAAAGTCCGGTAGCCACGCGGGGCGGAACCGAGTCCGGCCGACCGGAAGGCGGAAGTTGGCGGAGAACGCCGAGGGCTGCTGTGGGGCAGAGAATCTGGGTCCCTGAGGAAACCGGGGAGACTCTTGTCTCCTGGTCTTTGACATCCACGCTTATTACTTAGGGATTAAAAATATACTGTCATAAAAACCTAGGTCAGTCCAGAAAAGTGAACTTTTGTTCAAGACAGGAAACTGGGAAGGCCAGGGAGAGGCGAAAGGACCGGAGCACCTGGGCCCTGGTGTGGACAAGAGAGCCGTGGGGAGGCCTGGGTGTTTGTGAGGTTGGGAGACTAGTGGGCTCCCCATTGCTGGGGAGGAGACTCGGGAGAACTGAGTCAGCCCGGAGAGCCCATTTAAAATTAAGTGCTATGTTAGGTGCCATTGAGTCGCTTTCAACCCTTTCTACAACCCTATGCTATCAGAATCCTTGCAGCCACTGACTGTCAATCCATATTAACGAAGGGCTACCTTTTATTCGCTGACCCTCCACCAAGTAATGATGTACTTTTCCAGGAGCTGGCCCCTCTTAATGACATGTCCAAAGTACGTGAGAACTGTATCTGAATCATTGTCATTGTTAAATGTCGTTGAGTCTGTTTCGACTCATAGCTACTCTGTATAGAGTTTCCGAGGAGTGGCTGCTGAGTTTGAACCGCCGACCTTTCGATTCAAACGACTTTGCAGTCCAGTGCTTATCCTACAGCGTCACACCAGGACCACAGTCCTTAAAAAGGGAAGCCAGCCCCCTTCTAAGACTAAGACTCAATGGAAATGCACACTCTGATTGGTGACAACACACATCACCGATGGGGGGAAGTGGGGTAAAAGCAGCAATGAAGCAGCAAGCTAAGCCCTACAATGTTCAGTGGACCTCTGATTGGTGACCACACACATCACCGATGGGGGGAAGTGGGGTAAAAGCAGCAATGAAGTGGTGAGCTAAGCCCTACAATGTTCAGTGGACTTCTGTGGACCCAGCAGGGGACCTGGTTGGCAAGCAGTGTGAAGAGGCCTGGGGACTCTTGGGCGCAGAGACAGTGGTGTGGCCATGGAGGACTCGAGAGGAGAGTGGAGCTACCGGCTAACGGAAGAGAGGACATATGCACAGGAGTGCCCTCACTTGCAAATGATACCCACGTGACCTGGACCGGATGACTGGATGATGGGAGCTCAACTAGGAGAGGAAAGAAGAAAGGGGGGCGGGGGCGGAAAGTGAGCTGATAGTCTGATGAACTTGACCTATACCTATGGAGCAGAGACTCAAAAGAGGGAACAAATCCTCACAGCAAGAAACATTCACACACACACACACACAGAGTGGACGGAGAAGGGCAGCTTGGACATTGGATACTCAAATGGGGAGGAGGGGGGACTACAAAGGCAAGAAGTGACTGGCTTACAAGCTTTCAAGAGGGAACCTGGTGCTAGGGAGCATGGAGGAAGGC